AAAGATGGCGTATAAATGTCCGGCTCTGTGTCCCAAATCATGACCTCTTGGAGCGCCCAAACAGCCTTCTGAAATGTCACTGGAGCTACATCTTAGCTCCAATTCCTTCTCTTCGTGTAGCACTGTTTTCTCACACCCTGTAGTTGTCTATCCCAAGAGTGTCCCGCATCCTTCAGCCCGCATGATCTGCTTGGGTGTGCTTCCTTGGGACGATTATCTGTTTCTGAGATCTCAGGCCAGCTCAGTGAAGGAGTGGGACAGGAACCCGTGTCTTTCTTTGCTCAGCTTTCCAAAAGCACCTGGCTGATCTCCCTCCTTGATACCTTTCGGGCTTCAGCATGTTCGTCCAGGAACTTGGGGTATGTGACCTTCGAGAATAGGTCAGGACATGATGGAAGAAACTCACACACACCTTGGAACACAATGTGACAATGCCAAGTGCTTCTGTGAATGATTCCTCCAGGGCAAGGCTTTCAACCTTGACTAAATGAACAAGCAGCATGAAATGGCAAAAACCACGTAAAAGGTTCAGAGTTTATGACCCAAAGGCCCAAGAGCAGGGGGACACTGGACTTGATTCCTACAGCTCAGCTGCAGGACAGAAACTAGTGGGGATGCTCCGTGGTTCTGCCCCATCCTGCAGAAGTACTTTCCGGCTCTGTGTAGCAAACCCCAGGGTTTCACCATAGCCCAGTACTCTGGAATCCATCTTCCTTCACTAATGTGCCAGCTGCTACAGAAGCCTTGTTTGGGGGCGACACAGTGGAACTTCATGTCACGGCCCTTTGATTGCCCTGTGGAGCAGCACTGATAGAATTTGCGTAGATTCATTTACTGTCTTGTTTAGGGCTGCATAGAGGTGACAAAGCTAGAGGCCAGGCCCGGAACTTTCCGCAGTTCACTTGCCTCTGGGGATCACTTCTGACATAGAGAGCTGGAGCCATCTGAGAAATGCGTGGAACCTCGGTTGCCAATCATGATACTAAATGCTTATGAGGCCACAGACCACCAAATCTCACAATAGTAAAAGACATTCACAATGCCCAGAAGCAAGCAGAACAGGAGGATCATAGTACACATCTCAGAAGAAGGCAGTTAGAGCGCCCACTGAGAGATGATCAAGGCTTGAACTATAAAAACCAAGAGAACAAGGCTTTACAAACCCTGGGCTCTGTTTACGGAGGAACAGATGGCCTGGGGTACCCTGAAAAAGGGACTGAATATGTCATCAGACATAAGCATTCTGTTAAGGCATCTCTAAAATAGACATTTAAAAAGAATTATTTATTTTGTGAGTATGGGTAGCTGTGTGAGTTTAATCGTTTCTGCACCTAATATGTCAACAGAGATTAATCATTTTGTTGTCTGTGCTTTTGTGTATTTTTTTTAAAAAAGATAAATTTTTAAAAGAGAAATACAAGGAATTATATATTGTTTTTATTGTGTGTCTACAATTAGCTATTTGTACCTATGGGTTCTGTATCTATATGATATTTGTATATTTTATTAGATATTTCATTATGTACATATATTTATTATACACATATAATTACTTGCACATATACACATATTTATATTACTTAGGATATATATATATATATATATATATATATATATATATATATATATATTTGAGTTTTGAGACAGGGTTTCTCTGTGTAGTTTTGGAGCCAGTCCTGGAACTCACTCTGTATACCAGGCATATTTATATATTTAGTTAGTGTGTGTGTGTGTGTGTGTATATATATCCAACCCCAGAACCCCAGATTAATTATATTTTTGAACTGAATGGGCACAATTTTTTTCTTGTCACTTTTTTCAAACAGTTCAGCACAACATTGATTTACATAGCATTTACAGTTTTACATATTAAAAGTAATCTAGAGCTTATTTAAAGTATATGAGAAAATAGGGGTACATTATATGTGATCGTTATACCATTTTATGCAAGGAACTTGCGCGTATACAGAATTGGGTGTATTCGGGGGTTCTGAAACCAGTGCCCCATGGACACTGAGTTGACTGGATACATATGCTGAACATAGAGCTATGTGTAAATGCATACTATATACTTGATTTCCCAATAAAAGGTACCATGTCACACAGTGTTGCATGACTCTTCTTGTGGAATCTCTTTCTGTTTGCGCCAGGAGAGAACAAGAACAGATCAAAGTTATTCCATTCAAAGGCAGTTTGATGAATCAATGGGTTTTGGGGGCGTTACTTACAGGGGCATGGGTGAGGGGCTACTTAGAGGAACATGGGTGATTCCAGCAGCTGCAGTGCCAAAAAACATTACCTCAGCATGGGTAACTACTCAAAAAACCTGCATCACCAGAGTGCCCTGGACAACTTGCACATTTTTATACCGTGGAAGAATTGCCTCTTCCCCACCAATAGCTTACTATCTATATAACTACTTACCCAGTTTCATGAGACTTACAGCGGAAGTCAATTTCTCAAAAAAAATACATAAAAAGCCCATAAGTTAGTTTAAAATACTCATTGGGCTTGATGGCATGGGCCTGCAATCCCAGCTACTTGAAATATTAAGGTAGGGTAACTGGATGCTCAGCCTATTTGGACTGCAAAGTAATTTCAAAGCCAGCCTGGGTACCCTATCTCAAAATAAAAGGTAAAAGGGAAGCTGGAAATATACAGTTCAGTGGTAGTGTGATGGGGCGTGATGCCCCAGGTCCAATCTCAGTATATGTGTACACAAAAATCCCAATATAACTAAAATGAAAGTGAAAATCACAATGAGAGGACACCTCATTCCAGGTAGAATGACAAAATGACCAAGAAAACAATTGCTGGTATGAATGTGGGAAAAAGGAAACCATTGTAAGCGGTTGGTGGAAATGCAAATTAGCATACACATTATGAAAAAGTGTATGGAGCTTCCTTTAAAAATTTAGACACAGTATTACAACGGAGTCTAGAAATCCCAAAGTTGGGTGCATATCCAAAGGAAATGCAGTCACTATAAAGGAGACATTTGCACTTCCATGTTTATTGCAGTACTAGTCACACTAGCGAAAATTAACATTCACCCTCAATGCCCGACGACAGGTGAACTGGGAGCTAGTTGAGAGAGGCAGACACCAGCAGAAGTTGGGCAGCAGGTGTGTAGTTAGAAGGAAGAAGTTCTGCTATGTTACCAAACAATAAGGAGTTCGGGGAGAACAAGAAAGTGCTATACATTGCTAAATAGCTACACTTAAAAACATTTTCATCACAAACGAAAAGGCATGGTGGCAAACACAGGGTGTCCAAGCACAGGCTGAGGAAGGAAGATAGAGAGATAAAGGCCTGCCTGAGCTGCGAACTAAGAGTCTGTCTCAAAAAGTGTGTGTGTGTGTGGTGTGTGTGGTGTGTGTGTGTGTGGGGGGGTGTCTGCCGAATAGCTCAGTTAAGAAAAGTGTTTGCTGTGCCAGGATAAGGACCTAAGTTCAATCCTTGGAACGCATGTTCTCTAACAAGCAGGTTGGGCGACTTCTTGTAATCCTACCACCCGAGACACAGAAACAGGCAGATCACTGGCTAGTCATTCTACACAGTGAATTCTAGGCCAGTGAAAGACCCTGTCTCAAAAACACAAGGTTGAGTTGACCTCTGGCTTTCACACACACGCGCGCGCGCACACATACACACACACACACACACACACACACACAAAGGCAACCTCCCCACATAAAAACACATACACCTGCACACACGCAAAGGGAGGCTGCAGAGGTGGCTTAGTCGATAAAGCTTAAAGCACTTGCCATACAAAGCCTGGGGACCCGACTTCATATCCCCAGCACCCGCCTGAAAGTGTACCCCAGTGCTGAGGTGGGGGGGTAGTGGGGGGGTTAGATCCCTGGAACTCACATGAAAAAGACATGCAATGTATGGCTTCCACCCCCCTACACATACATACACACATACATGTGCACACACGCAGAAAAAAGAAATGGGGGATGCAGCTTGGTGGTAGGGTATTTGCCTGGTGTGCCCTTAAAAGACCTGGGTTTGATCCTAACATCATATGAAAAAATATAAGTATATGAAACCAACATGCTGACCATCCTCGTTTGACCAATCCAGCATCTATAAATGTAGATTCACCTACAACAGGCTTGTCCTTTAAAAGCTGAATATTGGACTGGGTGAAATGACTCAGTGGTGATTGTCACCAGGCCTGAGAACCTGAGTTAGATCCCTAAACCCACATGGCACGGTGGAAGATGCAAACCTACTCCCGCAAACTGTGCGTTGATCTCCACATGTGGACACAAACACAGACGCTCAAACACACACAAAATAATTGAGTGCAGTAATAAAAACTTTTAAAATAAAAATTTCACATTACTTAGGGGCTGGGGAGATGGCTCAGTGGGTAAAGTGCAAGCATGACACGGTAGCGCGAGCTTGTCACTCCAGCCACAGAGATACAGGATCTCAGTGTCTGGCCTTCAAACGCAAGTGGTGTGTGCTTTGTGCAACAACACAAGTGGTATATGCAGTGTGCAACCGCAAGCCTGTAAACACACAAAGTTGCATATTAATTTATGTATATTCTATAACTTAATCGATCCCCTATTTCACAGTAAGCCAATTCAGTTTCTCCTTTTATAAAGTCACTCTGCATGCTTGAAGGATTGGTAGGCATTTTGCCAATTGCATTCTAGAAAGTTCCGGGAGCTTCCATACACTTTCGAAGCAGCTATTGGAATGACTTCCCTTAGCTTCAGTCTCCTATCTTCACAGATAGCAAAACTGTATTTCTTCAAACTTGGAAGACTTGTCTTATCCTGCCTGTTAGTCATGCAGCCTAAGTGGGACTCCAGAAATCCCATGCACGCTCTCCCTCCTCTTGCCACATTCCCGCCCCTCCCCACGCACCGCCAACCCCCCCCCTCCCCTCGCGCTTTTCCCGCTCGGCCGCTTGGCCTATGGCAAACGCCAAGAATTAATTAGGGGCGGGGATGGAGGAGCGTCTGTCAGGAGATCGCCATATTTCTGTATGGCCCGTGGGGCAGCCCCGGCAGTCGGTGGGTCAGGAGAGGTGCTGACAAGGCGGGGCAGACGCTGGGCTCCTCCGGCTTCACCCCCTCCCGCTGGGGACAGGTGGCTGCAGCGCGCCCCGCCTCCGCCAGCTGCAAGTGGGAACCAGGGAGGGCCAGTCCGGGACGGCCACTGCCAGCTGCGAGTCCGGGGACAGCGCGATCTAGTGTGGGACAGCCGGCCGAAGGGTCCGGCAGCGGCAAACGAGTATCCTGGCGGCCAAAAAAATGCTCCTGTACCGAGGGGCCCCCGTGGGCCCTGGCGCGCCGGGCGGCGGACTGGCCCGGGCGGGCAGTGTCCCGCAGGCCTTCGGGATCCGCCTGAGCACGGTAGGTCGGGGGGCCCCCCAAGGGGACGGACTCGCGCGAGCGTACGCGGGTCCCCGGGCTGCGGGGGGCGCACGGGGTGGGCCCGGCGGGCCGAGGCCTCACGCGGGACGGGACCTTCTCTCGCCCCCAGATGAGTCCCCGCTACCTCCAGAGCAACTCCAGCAGTCACACGCGACCCTTCAGTGCCATCGCGGAGCTGCTAGGTGAGTGGCGAGAGTGGGTCGGGCCGCGGGGTCGCAAGCCGGGGCAGCGGTGCCAGCGTGGTGCGGTGGACGCGAGAGGAATGCACGAGGCGCGTGGGGCGGGACCGCCCGGGACGGGGTGGGGGACCTCGGCCACCGTGTTCTCTCAGGGGGCTGGGGGGGACTAGATCCTCCCTGGAAAGTCCAGGAAGCGAGGTGTGTGTGAAGAGTTTGGTAGGGTTCCTGCGACGTTGTTCTGTCTGTTTCGTGATGTTCCAGTCACTTTAGGATTCTTAGTAAATAATCAAAAAGCAATGCATAAAAATATCGGGCCCCGAGGCGCCTGGGTTCGACAGCGGCTGGCGGCCGACAGAGGGCCCCAAGCTGGCAAAGGAATAGTGCAGAGGACCGTGTAGACTCCCTGGAAAGATCTGGAACTGACTTCTTTAACTTTAGAGACAAAGTCTAGGAATGATGGGACATCTCTTAAGAGAGGATGACACGAGTGCATTTGGCTCTGTGAGACTGCAGAGGGCTGGGTTCGTAGTCCACGAGCGCCCTCACACCGCTGGAATGAATCCGGAGGACTTAAGGACTTAACCTCTGGGTGCACCGGTGCTTGCTTAGGGAGCATTTTCAGTGGCTTCCTTGGAGCTGGCGGCATCAGCTTCTGCAGTGGTGTTCGGCTCAGAACGCAAAGGAGAAAAGCAGTTCTGCACACAATTCAGCAGCACACAGAGCAGGCACATTATAAATATTTCAGAAACCCAAAGAAGGGAGACAGATTTATGGAGCTAGTTAGCACAGAACAAAAATCTTGAAAATGGCTTCAAAGCTACATGAATGAACCCCAGTGAGTACTTAAGGCATCGCTATGGCCATGCCATGAGACTTGTTTTTCTAATGATGTCGGTGAGCAAGGGGAAGAGCCAGCAGAGTTATTTGGAAGGTGATGGAGAATTCTGATGATTAGTTTGGCTGTAACCCAAAATGCTATATAGTAGGTTGCTGATTGCAGTCTACAAAGTTCAGGAGGAGAGTGGCATTGATGAAGTTTGAAGGTTCAGGCCGAGGCGACTCTGTCTTTTAGGCTGTTCACTATGTCTACAGAGAGCCTTCGAATAGTGGAATGAGATCTATGTGTGTGTAGCTTATTTTAAAAAGACAAAAGAGAGGAAACTTAACGATATTTTCAAGTTGTAATCTTGAAATACATGATTTGTTCCCCCTCTTTTTTTGGTGATGCTAGGAATTGAACCCAGAATCTCATAAATGCTAAGCAAGAGCTCTGCCACTAAGCTATGACAATAACTTTTTATGATTTTCTTTTCTTTTTTTGAGACAGTGTCTCACTGTGTAGCCCAACCGACCTGAAACTTGCTGTGTAGCTCAGGCTAGCCTTTAGCACATAGAGATCTGTGCCTGCCTTCTAATGCTAGGATTACAGGCATGCTCCACTACACTCACCTCACATCATGATTTTTTTTAAATCACTAAATTAAAAAAATAGATCTGGCCTAAGATGACTATCATGAATTCAAATATGCATATGGTATATATATACATACGTACAGATTTCTTTAAAACCAAGTAACAAATATTGATAGGGCAAAGGAACATCAGAATGTTTACTGGTAATTCAAACCTTTCATTTGTCTTTTCCTTCAACAGTTTTCTTTCCTTCTGAATTAATTTTTTAGGGGACCACTTATTTGATAAACATGTATTAAACATCCACTATCTACAAAGTCACTGAGCTAGGTAGAAAATGGATATAATCCGGATCCACGTTATTAGTAGGTGTGACAAAACATGTATCAGCTTCTGGAACAACCGTGTAGTATGTTCTAAGTGCTGTATGAAAAGAGATGTCCACGAGTGCTGTAGGAGTACAGACAGAAGAGGAGTGACTCACGCTGGTCAGGAGCAGAGGGCTCAGAAAACATTTTGTGAAGGAGGGGACATTTGAGCAGTGGTCTGAAGGGTTGGGACATGTGGACATGGTGAGAGAGGTGGGGGGGGGACGACATTCCACTCACAAGGAACAAGTGGATGAGCAAAAGCTTGAAGACAAGCTATTTGGTACTTGAATTTAATTAGAGCACCGAGTTCACAAACAGTCGAAAAGCACATGCTTTTAAATGATTAAGGAAGAGCTTTCAGAAATATCCTTGTAGTTTATCCTTGGAAATGAACAGTGGTTTTCTTTTTTTCAAAGATGAGTAAAAAGAGGTTTGGAGGTAGTGTATATTTCTAAGGTCACATGTCTAGTAAGTGGCATGTCTAGTAGGTCACAAACATGGGTCATTTTACTTAAATCCCAAGTAGGAAATGAAGTTAGAAAGGTGAGCTGGAACAGGATGTGGCTGGGAGGCTTGACATTTGACCTGCTAGTCTGACAAGGAGAGTTCCTGCTTAGAGCACTCCTTCGGGGTGGTCGAGCTTACCCAAGAGGAGTTGGAGAAGAGAGATGTAGATTTTTAAGATTGTTAGGAAGCTATTGCAATTATACAAATGAGAGGGAATAAACCCTGTAAGTTAAGAAAAATGACGACGAGAGCAGAAAAAGCAAGATGTAACAGAACCTGGGGGGTGTATAGAGCAGAAAGAGGTGGATTAAAAATAGCTTTAAAAAGATTTGTTATTTTTATGTGTATGAATGTTTTACCATGTATGTAAATGTACCCGCATAAATGAGGGTGGTTCCCAGGGAGGTCAGAAGAGGGTATCAGATCCCCTGGAATTTGAATTGTAGACAGTTGTGAACTGCCATGTAGGTACTGGAAGCCAAGCCAGGATCCCCGTGATCTTAACCACTGAGCCATCTCTTCAGCTCAATTTAAATATCAAACTCACAGTTTCGCACATACTAGGCAAGTATTCTATGGAGCTACAACTCCAGTCGTACTGGCCATTGGAATGTTTGGGCATGTCTGTGTGTGTGTGTGCACACACGTGCACAAAGAATAGCCTTCTGACCAAAAATGACCTACCTTACTTTTATATTACTACCTGCTTGCAAGTCGCCTTGTAGTGCAGTAACCTGTCCCTGGCAACCTTGCACATCTCTACGTACTGAAGTGGGAACAGATGGAGGCTTGTGAAGTACTGTTTTAAAGCAGGCTCCCCTTCCTTACCTCTGTCTCACTGAACGATTTGTTAGGCTCCTCCTTCCCTGCTGCTGCCATGGCCAGGTACCACCAGGTACCAATGAGCGATGAGTCTTCAGTTACAGAACTCTTTTTTTTTAAGACAAGAAATCCAGCACTGGGGAAGCAGAGGCAGGTGGATCTCTGTGAGTTCGAGGCCAGCCTGGTCCACAAGAGCTAGTTCCAGTACAGGCTCCAAAACTACAGAGAAACCCTGTCATGAAAAACCAAATAAGAAAAAAAAAAGACAAGGAATCATGTAGAGGGTGAATGTGAAACCGTTAGGCTATAAGGATTTTCATGTTCTCGCTAAAGTAACTTGGTCGCCAAAGGCAAGGTGGAGCTAGGGCCCTTTCGCTAAGGGATGGCATAGACTAAGGGAGAAGAGGTAAGAGTGGATTAGTGTATGGAATTGTGATTCCAGAGGAAGACGGGCCAGCTCTCATCTAACTCTAGGTAAAGGAGTTAGGATTCTCTCATTATATCTGTTCATGGTCTAAATGGGCTGGGCTGGGCTAGAAGATCCATTCCCTGAGATGAGATAGGATATGCTACACATTGGCTGATTCTTACCGTGCTGAACAACAGGAGGCAGGATTGAAGCTGCTTGCCTAGTCAGCACCGTAGAAGTCCATCCATTGGACTGATCACAATGTTAAACTATCCTTTGTTGAAGCCTCATAAAAGGCCACGCAGAACCAGGAATTAAATGCAAAGCTGTGCTTGCCAGTCCACGCCCACTGATCTCAATTTCCCTAATGCACGGTCCGACTCTGGCCTCTCCTGGGCCCCATATTCTCTGTACTTCATGAAGCTACCAGTCATATCTGACTGTTCCAGACATGTAACTCATGAACTGCCTTTGTTCTTCGGTACACTCCTAGAAAACAGCCAAACAAATAAAACAACCTAGTGAAGTTTGGCCCAAACTTTGAGTAGAAACAAAAAAGAAGTGATTTTGTTGAGGCCCATAAATTGATTCATTTCATGTCTCAGTGTACATGTGTGTAATTGGAGGCAGTGTGTGTTGTGTGTTTGAATTGGGAATGCCCGTAAAGTGTTAGAAAAGGTCCTGGATAGTCATCATTTTCCATGTATAAATGCTATCCAGCTGGTTGACAAGTTGTATTGGTCTCAATGGCTTTGGCTCTCTACCAGCAGGAGTGACTGATAAGAGCCTGCATGCCAAGTAAAATTTCCTGAATGCTGACAGATGTAAAATGCTAGGTCTTTCTGATGGTTAAGAAAAAAAAGAAGAAACCCTGTCTCTTAAAAAGTAAAGAACTGCATTTCTGTTAATGCTTCCTTTGCCTATAAACGTGTAACTTCTGCTCAAATATAGCCTTAGTACTAGTGCCACGTTTATATGGACCTTAGGTCCTCCTTGGATCGACTGTACTAGACCTTCCTAACCGCTTTCTGGGGCTGTCCAGATTTTTTCAGATTGCAGCCAGTAACAGTTTTATCAATGACTGACAACACTGTCGTATCGCTCGAAATTAATCTGTCTCTCGTTTTATTTGGCAGACTTTCCACACATCCAAGTGCTTGTAACTGATACTGATAATTATATTGTAAAAATGTGTATTTTGAGTAAGTGTAATACTTTTCTTGATTCTAAGAGATGTTCCTAATGGAGAAATGACATTATTTTATCAGCAATATTGATCAGGACCCCACATGGCTATCTCAGGCCACCTATATGATATCAGTAAAGTCGTATAGAATGTCAGCAAGACAAGGAAGGATATATAGAAAGGAAGATCTCTGTTGTTTAAAAAAAAAACTAGTAGGAATAGAAATGACGTAGGCACCCAGCTGTGGAAGTCCCTTTTGTGTCGCTCTAACAAAATGCCCAAGCATAAATGCAGTGTAAATAAAGAAGTTTATTTGAATCATGATTCTGGCTCCTGGAACGTCCACATGGCATCATTCCAGCCTTCCTGGAAGGGCCCCCTAGCTGCATCACAAGGCATCACAATGTGCCTGAGAAGTCAAAACAGAGCTCGACATGTACAGAAGGAGCCAAACACACAGGGTGGCCTTGGATTAAAACAAGCCATTTTAGTGGGAAGTAATCCAGTCCTTTCAAATCTGACAGTGTCAGTCCCTTCCAAGGTAGCATCCTCAGTGACCTAATTGCATTGTATTAAACTTTGCTTCTTAAAGGTCCTGCCATCTCTTCACCCCACCAAAGGCAGAGCTTCTAGCATGTAAGCCTTTAGAGGACAAACCATAGCCAACCAATAGTACTATCCAACATTTGTATAGAATACACTTCTAACAGGGCTAGTGAATCCTTCTGAGACTAGTAATCCATACCAGTTAATGACTGTAAACTGGTGCCCATGAGAATAGATGTGACCTTTCAGATAGTGGTAGTCTCTGGTATAGAGGACATGATTCATTTAATATGGTTAAGTTTGAAAGTAATTCGCTGTTTGTGAAGATGTACTTCAGGAGGAGCCATGGAAGTTTCTATGAAGTTTTCTACATTAATTTGGATCTCCATTTCCAGGGCTAGATAGCCTCACATTTAACACAGAGAAAAACAGCAGAATCACGGGTTCTCTCAAAACAGGCTTGCTGCTGTCACTAGGATTTAAGTAGGCAACTAAATGTTTTAATTTTAACCTCTGACTCCTTGAGGTCTTTATAACTATAAACAGGGATAGCAAAAATACTTTGTGTGTGTGTGTGTGTGTGTGTGAGAGAGAGAGAGAGAGAGAGAGAGAGAGAGAGAGAGAGAGAGACAAAGAGAGACAGAGAGAGACAGAGAGACTCTCTACTATGTATCTCTGGTATCTCTGGCTGTCCTGGAGTTTGCTATGTAGACCAGACTGACCTTGAACTCACAGAGATCATCCTGCCTCTGTCCCTCTAGTGTCGGGATTAAAGGTGTGTGCCACCACATAAATACCCATGTTCTTTAACAGAAGAGATGATATCAAAAAGCAGAAGATAATTCTTTTTTACAAAGAAACTGTAATGTGCATAAGAAACATCCATTTTTTTTTTGCCCAAACTGCTGGCTCAATTTTCTCACTCTATCCACCTTTCCCTGTGTTCATGAGCTCTAAAGTGTCTTAGAGGCAAGAGGTAGGAAAGCCAAATCAAAGCAAAATGCTTTGCAAATGGCCCACTTTCCCACAGACCCTGACTTTTATAAGGAGAAAATCAGACTGCAGGATCATTCATTCTGTGAAACCTAGAAATCAGCTTAATAGCTCCGTCTGCCATCAAGTCCGCTGTTCTCCGTAACTCAGTAAGGGCACCACTGTTAATGTCTGCTTCCTTCTATTCTGGTACATTTATAGGAAGGAATTAAAGATGTATTTGTATGTCTTGGTACTGAACGGGAGGTTTTGGTAGATTATTGATTTCTCCTTTTTGCAGATAATGCTGTAGACCCAGATGTATCTGCCAGGACGGTCTTTATAGACGTTGAGGTGGTCAAGAATAAACCTTGTTTGACGTTTACTGACGATGGGTGTGGGATGACACCTCACAAACTCCACCGAATGCTCAGGTAAAAACGTCTCCATTCGATGTCGTTATCTTGACTTCACAAACTTTATTTGCGGCTCGATAACTTGTCTGTAGTATTTTAACTTACCTCTCTTTACGCTATGGATACTTATGAAGCATATGATTAGTGTGAGGGCTCTGATTGTGAAGCAGACAGTATTTCTACCTGCATGGAACTTAGAATCTAGCTGCCAATTCAAATGATTGAGGCAAGTGTAACAATAATAAAAGACTCTGAGCTTAAAAATAGGAAAGCATGAGATGCATGGGACCTCAGGGGTCTCTGAAAGTCTCCTAGTTAGAATGCTGTTCACATTGAGATGTGAAGGATGGCTCAAATTTAACAAGGAAAGAAAGGCTTGGGAGCAAGGCCTGGCAGTTCAAGAAGAGAAAATGTTCTAAATAAAACTCCGAATTTCTTTATTTATCTGATCCCTTCTGCAGTTCATAACTCACCTAAACTCCTTCTTAAGGCCCAGGTACTGGAGTTGGGATGACTCATGGGTCAGAACTGTGCAGTGCCTGAGCATAAGGAAACCTCATGCAAGGTGAATTAAAGGCTTCACATCCATAGTCTTGGAAGGCTTTACTGTAGAGCTGTGGAGTTAAGAAGGTATTTTCTGACCAGCGAAGCTGAAGATAAATTCCTACTAACATACTGACTTCATTTACTTATTTTTCAATGTTTGTGCTTTATTGTCTCCCCATATCACTTGGTGCAAGATGGGTGTTTCTTCATCCCTTTCCTTCTTTTTTCCTTTTGAGCAGATGTGGTTGTTAACCCTCCGTGTGCTTCCTGAACTGGAGCATGTGAAGCATGGGTAACAATGGAGCAGTGCTGACCAGGAGCGAAAGGGCTCAGAATCCTAAAAATGGAAAACAAATTCATTGTCTTGTAGTTTTATTGGAAAGTGTTCTGACTTAGTAGATGTTTGTAGGAAATCCCTTTACTCCTCAAAGAAAGAAAAATGAAATTTGGTCAAAGTAAGAGGTTATGTTTTGCTACTCAACAGTCTGTGCATCTTTTACCTTAGTCTCTCTTTCTTTAAAAAAATATTTTGTTTTATGTATATGCATGTTTTATGTACATGTAGTGTCCCAGATCCCCTGGAACTGGACTTACAGAAAGCTCTGAGCTGCCATATGTGTTCTGGGAATTGAACCCAGGTCCTTTGAAAAAGCAACTGGTGTGCTTAACCAGTGAACCACCTCTCCAGCCCTTACTCTCTTAGTCTCACTTAGAAGAATGTTTGGGTGCCAGGTATGGTAGTGCATGCCCATAATCCCAGCATTTGGGAGAAAAAGCTAGGGGTATTGAGAGTTCAAGGCTTGTCTGGTGCTGTGAAGCTCTGCCAAAACAAGACAGAACCAACAAAAACTCGAGGGAAAGCTCTCCAAGTGAGACCAGATATGTCCAGTATGTGATGAATGTGGAGGTAGAGACTTGGTTTGATTCTCTAATCCACAACATCAGTTTTATCCCTAAAATTAATAGTACATGCTAAAAAGAAGACAATTTAGATAGGATAGAACTATTAATATTTATGTCTAATTCTACATCACAACATTTCTCTAAAATTGTTAGTCACCTGTTTTTGTATGTGTTTGTGTGTATGTGCATGTTTGTGTATCTGTGTGTACATGCATGTTGGTGTTGTGAAAGCCAGAGGTTGTCAGATGTTGTCCTCAATTACTCTCCCCCCACATTGAACCTGGGTTTTACCTTCATCTAGATTAGAATGCCAACAATCCCCAGATATCCCTCTGTTTCCACTTCCTCGGTAACGGGGTTATAGGCATGCTTTGTTGAGTGTAGGCTCTATGTGGGTGTTGGAGACATGAACTCAGGTCCTCTTGCTCACTCATCAAGCAGCTTACTCACTGAGCCCCCCTCCCTAGCTCCCACTGATCGCCTTACTTACTGACTTCCTCCCACAACCCCTTATCCCAGTTACATGGGCACCAAACAATAGGTCCAGCAAATATAGAAACGCCTTCCATTTTTTTTCTGTGCATCTATTTATATGAAAGTTGATAAGTAGTTATAAGAAAGAAGGGAAGAAAAGGATGATTTAAAAATAATTTCAGGGCCCTGAGAAATGGTTCAGTGTTTAAGAGCGCTGACTGTTCTTTCAGAGGACTTGGGATCAATTCCCAGCATCCACATGGTGGCTCACACATGTCTGTAACTCCAGTTCTAGGGAGTCTGACACCCTGTTTTTACCTCCGTGGACACTGTATGCATGCAATGTGCAGACATGCATGCAGGCAAAATACATATTTACATAAAGTAAAAATAAATAAAATACTTTCAAGAATAATCACTCATTCATTCAGTAAATTCCTGCCAAATGAATGAATGAATGAATGAATCAGAAGCAAAGCCTTATTTCAAATGCCAGTAGTAACCCAGACAGATATGATCTTGGCTCTAAAAGTGTCGACAGTATAGTGGAAAAGGGAAGCTGGCTAGTGGTATGGGTAAGTAGGCTCTTTCACCCAGAGGTAAGTGGTAAGAAAGAGTACAAATTTTGAGTCCATTTAGCAGAAAGAAATTAATCTAGCCTATGAAGTTAAAAAAAAACTACACAAAGAAATATCTTGTGCGTGTGTGTGTGCATACATATGTGTGTGTGTGTGTGTGTGTGTGTGTGTGTGTGTGTGTGTGTGATGGGGTTCCTGTGTGTGGAATTCAGAGGACAACTTTGAATAGTTGGCTCTCTTGTTCCATCATGTGTTTGGGGGATTGAAATCAGGCCTTCAGGCTTGATGGAAGTGCCTTTGCCTACTGAGACATCTTGATGGAAGTGCCTTTGTCTACTGAGACATCTTGATGGCTCACAAAATGACAGTTGAGGCAAAATATGAAGGATCAGTATCACCCATTCAAAATTTTGGCCTCACCCAAAGAATCCAAAGTAGGCAGAAACTTACATAGCCATAACATTTTTTCCAGTCATACCAAATATATTTCCCATTGATTTTCACAGAGCACATTTTTTTTTATATTTAAAACTTAATTTTAGGAAATTGTGCTAATGAGTATTTCATGTAGTGTGTATACTGGATTTTTCTTGTGATTGTATCGCAAAGTAAATGTGCACTAGCTAAAGGATATCATTTATTTAAAGGAGATCATTTAGTCTAATCTATTCCACCCAAGACTTCACTTCCCACAATTGTTTATCTAGCAATGCATTATACACGGCCAGCAAGTACTGCTCTAGCTGTCTCCATAGTCCTAGCCCACCACAGTTTTTGAAGGAAAAAAAATTCTAAACTTTAGAGGTAGTTTTGATATTATTACTGTGTAAGGTATTTTTTCCGTTTTTCATTTTGTGGCACATTTATTTTATATTTGGAAAAAAATAATAGAAGTCATTGTGCAAAGCATGTGACAGTATTAAGCCTATAGCCATTCTGTTTGACCTCTGACATTTATTGGTATCCTGTGCCTGTTTTCCTGACTCATTATGCTCCTCTTCCTGTTTTCAACTGATAAACTAGGGTGCATAACTGAAGGAGCAGCTTCTTTCCTAAACACAGAACCCCATGGAAAGTAAGCTAAAAAAGTCAAGTCTGGGCTGAATAGGTAGTTCCTCTGGGTAACTGAGCACTTGCCTGGCATGTGAAGGCACCTCAAGGGGAAGAACAAAACTAAATCAAAGAAAATCTTTCATTCAGGTTTTTTTTTTTTGAAGTCCTACTGTTCTGTCCTTTTTGGCTTCCTGGATAGTATGGGAATCAGTACATATCCATTCAGCAGCCTTTCCCAGCAAGGTGGGAAGCCTCTTCCAAAGGTCAAGAATTAAAAAGAAGAAGTCAGACTGAAGGCCTTTGCTGCCTTCACTCAGAACCACAGAGCATAGTAGATCTGTCTGCTCCAAGACAGCAGCCGGATAGTAAGAGCTTTTTTTTTTTTTTTTTTTTTTTTTTTTTTTTTGGAACTAGCTCTTGTAGACCAGTCTGGCCTTGAACTCACAGAGATCCGCCTTGCCTCTGCCTTCCGAATGCTAGGATTAAAGGCATGCACCACCACTGCCTAGCTTGCTTGTCAGTCTTTACAACACCACTATACCTAGGAAACAAGCCTGAAAATGCTTACTTGTGTATTTCCCTGGAGTTTTGCTAAGGTGTGTTTCATTGGTCAGCAGCCAAATCATTTATCTATTTATCTATTTATTCATTTATTTTTGGTTTTTCGAGACAGGGTTTCTCTGTAGCTTTGGAGCCTGTCCTGGAACTTGCTCTTGTAAACCAGGCTGGCATTGAACGCTCAGAGATTCACCTGTCTCTGCCTCCCAAGTGCTGGGATTAAAGGTGCGCACCACCACTACCCGGCTAGCAAACCAACTTAAATTCATCTCTTTAGAATCTAGATTCCTGACATCTTAAGGGTATTTGAGAGAAAATTGCTATGTTACTGTATTCCATCGAGAGTGCCAGTCGTCAAGTCCCTTGGTGTATAGACAATAGTATTTGTTACAAGAGAGGATAGAACAAGATTGACTTAGTGAAGATGAGCCATCTAAGCCAAGATAGCTCTTCTGAAATTATTTTAGCTATATAAAGCTATATAACTGGATACATTTCTGCTATTAAGTACGGTGAGCGCTCTTGTCTTAGGTATTTGCAGTTGAATAGAATGCTTAACGTGGGGCCTTAGTTGAGACAGAGCACATGGAAGTGTTAGTAACAGAACCAAGTCTAAAGCTTCTCTTTTATCCTTTTCCATCCTGCTTTTGACTCAGGCCTGTTACTTACCTTTTCACCCCTATATTGCCATCTGCTCTCCTTACAGTAACTAATACAAGGATCTGTGTACATGGTGTGGGAGGGAATAGGTGACAGAGGAATAGAAGAGACTAGAAAATAAGACATGGACTGATTGCCTGTTGTACCACTTTCCCTTGACTACCTAATGGAAAGTTTTGTGATATTGGAAAAAAAAATCCAAATGACCTTACAAATTCATTTCGTGTGGTGGCGGGCCTGTTTATGAAGAGCCCTGGATTTTAGATGTGTCATTAGATCTGGAGCACAGATAAAGAACAGTACATTCCCGTTCTCAAAATAAATCCTAGAATCAGTTTAAAATTAAAGATGAAAATAGCAGAATCTTAGCAGTTTATCAGCCCTTCTTCCTGGAATCATTAAGGTCCAAACATAATGTTAACTCAGTGTTCTCTTTTCAGAGGACCACTTCCCTGAAAATTGGTTTCAGCTCACATTAAATTTATTTGTAGGATGCACAGAGACCTAGAGAACATCAGCACGTTGTTACATAACATCCTTTACCAGAAAATTGAAGGCTGCTCCCTTTTATTGGGTAGTAAACAGGAAAGCACAGTCTTCTGGAAATGGAAAGCAGGTAGCTGAACCCTCCTCCCGCTGGAAAGAGTAAGGCCAGAACCAGCCTGGTCAGTTGTGCAATATGGAGATAGTGTCTTTTTCATTGATATTGGAGAAGCAGCTAATACATGAAATCCTGTTGGCTGTCAGTTATGAGGGCAAGAATCATATGGGTTGTGTTAACATTTGTGTCTCCAGTGCTTGTCATAATGCGCAAGTCATAGGGCTTCAGTGAATATTAAGCTAATGGCAGTGTACATCATTGTGAAATTGGGTAATCTAGAGATATACAATCCTCAAAATTAGCATTTATTCGTGGTGGTGGAGGATACAAGAGGAAGCTCATTTTGTAGGTATTACATGTTTGAATACTTTTATATTCTGTTATTTGGGTGTGTATCTGAGTATCTAAATGGAAAACATAAGAAAGGGAAGGATTTTGACTCTCGGAGTAGGCTGATGACAAGGGGCTGCTGAGTTTGCTGAGGTGACTCAGTGAGAGGCCTTTAATAGAACAAGAGAGACTTTATACTGCAGCTGTCTGCAGATATTCCCAGGCAGGACTACCTATTTTTATCCTTTGGCAGTGTTCCAGTGAACTGTCCCAGCCGATGAAACAGAGGCTTTGAATTAGGAGGGTTATCCTTTGGGTGGGGAGTTGGAATTGTCAAGATAAATGATCTCTTTTAGATTTTTGGAGAATGATGTGACCAGACGAGAAGGCGCTTAGTGTAAGTACCTCACTTAGCACCACTGGTACTTTTATGACCCCCTCTCCAGGTAACAACTCTCTTCGTATAGCCCCAACTCAGAGCAGTCAGGGCCGATTTATCTAAACAAGAAAGGCAGCTGCACAGGGCCTTCCCTGGCTCCTGCTGTTATGTTAGCCAATGGGAGCATTTCAGTTACCAAGTGTGACTCTGGCATATAGAACTATTTAATATTTAAGTACACACAAGCCACACTGGAAACTTGGTAGCATAGCTCAATCGTAATTTCCTATGCTTTGCCTGGAAGTACCAAAGGGAGTGCAAACAGAGCTTGTTGCTGTTCCGCATGTGGAAGCTAACCATTCTCCCTGGGAACTATTCTAGGATGCTTTTTACCTTGCTCATTTCTTTTTTTCTTCTGTAATTTCAGCTTTGGCTTTACAGATAAAGTCATAAAGAAGAGCCAGTGTCCCATCGGGGTCTTTGGTAATGGTTTCAAGTCGGGTTCCATGCGGCTAGGAAAGGATGCTCTTGTCTTCACCAAGAATGGGGGTACCCTCACTGTTGGACTTCTGTCACAGACCTACCTGGAGTGTATCCAGGCCCAGGCAGTTATTGTACCAATTGTCCCATTCAGCCAGCAAAGCAATATCCTTTCTAGAAATGGAGAGTAATTGATTAAATATTAGTTTGACTGTTTTGGTGGAACCTCTTCCTCGGGTCAAATCCAGCTGTTACTTGATATTTCCTATTTCAAATTTTTTTATATTTAAAGAGCTATTCAGACATCTGAAACGTAGCTAAAATGTTTTTTTTAAATACTGGACCATTAGCAGAATTTAAAATTTTTTTTCTGTGTTCAAATTCTCACTGTTAAGTTTGATTTATACAATTATTTTTTTTGCTAGACACTGTTCTGTGGTAAAGTTCTCGGGGCCTTTGCACCATAAAGGCTAGTTGCATTTGTGATTATGCTTCTTCTTCTTTTTTTTTTTTTTGAGACAGAGTTTCTCTGTATCTGTAACTTTGGAACCTGTCCTGGAACTAGCTCTTGTAGACCAGGCTGACCTCGAACTCACAAAGATCCTCCTGTCTTTGCCTCCCGAGTGCTGGGATTAAAGGTGTGCGCCACCACCGCCCGGCGTGATTATGCTTCTTGAAATGTCCTATTTCCCAGTTTATCCTGCTAGCAGAATGGTTCATTTGTCCGTACCTGGGTGGACTCTCATTTCTGATGGGAGAAGTACGGCAGGAAGAATGGGACTCAGCTGCTTCCAGATAGTTAAAATTTTGGCCTTCGGCCTTTTTTTCTTTGTCCAGACGAAGCACTTTCTTTGTTTACATCGCATCTTTGCAGCTGTACTCAGCAAGTATAACTGATTTTCATGTTTGAATAAACAGCTGCTCTCAACTCTCCACTTCCCTTTTCTCGTAGCAGAAATGCCTGTCCTTTGCATGTAGATTTTGTGTCTACATGTAACCCCAAAGGCACTCTTTCTAGTACTTATTTGTTTGTAGAACTGTATAATAGTATGTCTCATTATCAAATTCTTGTGTATATACTGTCTTGGATTATATTTGCCCCACCCTCTCCTGGCCCCTCCCACTGACCCTCTTCCTCTTCTCAGCCAGCCCTCCTTTTTCTCATGTCCCTTTTTGTGACCCAGCCAGTTTCATTATGACTCTTACTTCTTGATATCATCCTCATAAGATATTAATTTTCTTTGACTGAAATTTTTTTACAAAAAATGGTTATTACTGAAGATTCTTTGCCCAGCCTAGAAGCCATCTTGAACTATTCAATTTTCAACAGTGAAAAAGACCTGCTATCTCAGTTCGATGCCATTCCAGGCAAAAAAGGCACCCGTGTTCTCATCTGGAATGTCCGGAGGTATGGTATTCCAGGGCTGTTAGATTCTAATAAGCCAACATTGTGTGATAAAGTACATTTTGATTAGTATTTCCTAGATTAGATTAGATAAATAGTGAGAAAGCTTCCTCTCTGTAACTTCCTTGATTCTGTTGAAATAGTGGTTCTCTGTGATCAAATGGTGCGTATATAAGGTGAAAATACGCATATCCTGAGGTTGTAGCCACTAATGATCATGATAATACAACATGGCATTTACTGTGACATCCTCCGAATCCTTTACACTTCCATTCCATGTTTATTGACATTGTTTTAAGATTGGCAGATGATGGTTATTTTATTGCATTGGCGAATTAAAATGAATTAATAAGAAAGATTATAGTGAAATACTTAGTTTTTAAGTGATAGCATAAAAAGAAGAAATTCTGTATTTATGCTTTTGGAATAGACAATCTTTGAAGCAGGTCATTTATGCTATAATGAAGCTGTATTACGATCATAACTTTAAAGCTAATACAACAATTAAGAGAAATTCTATGATGCATCTTTTAATTTTGGCATGGCAAATAGGATACATTTAAGAATGCATTAAAGCGTAAACACACAACCCTAATAGCTTTTAATAGAACAATCCACAAATATGTTCATTTTTTTTCTCTATATGTCAAGCACTTTTCTATCTTCTTAGCTGTGTAAGGTATGTATATGTTAAAAGAATACTGGTTTATGCCAACAGAGTAATTCTAATTAAAAATAAAAGGTAAGGAGAGTTCATATGTCCTATTGAGAAAAGCTTCATGATATAATGTGTGTAACCAGGGACTGTTCTGCTGTGGTATTTTCAATGATTTACACATATTAAACACACTTTTCCTTTGTGCATTGTTCCTTAGTTATAATTAAAATTATTTGCATGGTTAAATAATGTTGAGAAAAACTATCTTAAAGCCTATGGTATTGCTTTGTTGAAAGACTTCAGACACATGCACGTGCTAATATTTAAGAGAGTAATATAGTATTAGTATATCCATTTAAAAAAAATGTTTTTCGAGGCCTTTTTTCTTGGATGGCGAAGGCGAGGGGCAGGGAAGATAGGGTCCTTCCTCAGAGTGTCTGTACTAGAGTGTTCTAGGGTAGTACGAATCACAAATATACTGAAAAATCCAGGATCCGATTTTAACGTGGTGTGGGCTTTTTACAGGCTGGATGCCGCAGTGGTCCCTGGTCAGCTTTGAGAGTGGAGATAAGTTTTCAGCCTAGCCACTCTGAGCTGGAATGTGAATGTGAAGGAGGTTAACATGACAGCCTGAGCTGTTTCTCAGGTTTAGTTGTTCACACAACTTTTATTTCTTTTCTTCTTATTTAAGAATATCTCCCGGAACTACAGTTCCACAGAATGAATTTCGAAAACTATTGTTTTAATAGTAACCCATCTTTTAAAAAACAAATTTAGAAAGTTTTTTTTCAGGAACAAAGGTGATTCTTTATGTTTCTCCCCCTGATATTGAATGGTGAGCTTGCCCATGTCTTAGAGGAAAGTAGCCTTCCAAGTACTTAGAAAACTAAGAAGCCAAAAAAGATTGAGAGTAAGAAATGTTTATATGAAAGAGATACCAGTGTTCTTATATGGGTACTATCATTCCATATTTTAGAGGCTAGAAAATAGGTGGTGTTCTGTAGTAGCAGTAGTAGTAGGTCTGTGTGTGTGTGTGTGTGTGTGTGTGTGTGTGTGTGTGTGTGTGTGTCTTGCCTTCTAACCATTTAAGTCCTAGTGCTAGGATGATGGCGCATGCTTTTAATCACAGCACTTCAGAAGAAGAGTTCGATGGATTTCTCTGAGTTTGAGGCCAGCCTGGTCTATAAAAGTGAGTTCTAGGTCAGTCTGAGATACATGGTGAGACCTTGTCTTGGGGAGGGGGAGATATAGGACTAGATCTGGGGAAAATGCTGGCGTCTTATTAGTTCATATTCTGCTGCTGAAGCCAGCAGCAATTGAATTGGGTGGATATAATCATTCAGTTGGAAAAAGGTGCTATTTAGTGACGTTTTGGCAGCAGTCAGAAAGCTGGTATTTAAGATCTTGCTTTGAGGGTAGCCGACATCCGTTCGATTCATCAGATCCCAGATATTTAACACTCCTTCTTGTCTTTCCTTATGAACCTGGCATCACCAGCATTGTGAAATAGGGTAGACTGATTTAGAACAGGAACAACTTAATTACTGTGTGGTCCTCAAATTGCATAGTTCTTAGTTCCTTTGGAGTGGCAGTTAGAAAAAGCATCATACACCTGAGTATTGACTTATATTTCATGTGTGTTGAGTTCCTAATGCATCCCCCGCCCCCGTGAGCCCACTGGAGCCAGTTCTTAAATTGGTACTTGTCTATTTTACTTAGAAACAAAGATGGAAAGTCTGAGCTGGACTTTGATACAGATCAATATGATATCCTGGTATCAGACTTCGATGCTGAAGAAAAGGAGATTGGTGGTGTTCCCTCCAAGCTGCCAGAAACAGAGTATTCCCTACGGGTGAGTGAGAATAGGCCTTCAGCGGTGACAAGTACGATTTCCTATAACGTGAAAATATCGTGTAACAGAGTTGAAGCGCAGGTGTGTAGAGATGATGCTCTGCTGGGATTCCTTTTCACCGCCTACGCTGAAGCAGTTCGTGAATATAGCTACTTCCGTCTCAGAATGGTAGTTAATGCATTGTGAAAACGTATAGAAACTCAGCCAAGTAATTGCCATCCCTGGGCCCAGTTGGCTGGTGATGATTTGGGGAGATATCTGTAGAGTTGGCGATATACATAACAATTTGCCTTTCACAAATCTGTAGGCATTTTGTAGTGTTCTATATATGAAGCCTCGGATGAAGATTTTTCTGCGGCAAAAGAAGGTGACTACCCAGATGATTGCTAAGAGCCTTGCCGATGTGGAACACGATGTGTATAAGTCTCCCTCCACCGTATCCTTCCGTGCACTTGACATCTTCATTCTGGGGTAAATCTCTCTATTGGTATTCAACCAAAACCCTGCCTTATTCCCATTCAAAGTTGTGTGCTAAAACAGTCAAAATTGTGGGCTGAAACCCTTGAAGGAAGATTTTTTTTAAATATATATATGTTTATATATATATTTACTATGTATACAATATTCTGTCTGTGTGTATGTCTGCAGGTCAGACCATTACAGATGGTTGTGAGCCACCATGTGGTTTCCGGGAATTGAACTCAGAACCTTTGGAAGAGCAGGCAATGCTCTTAACCACTGAGCCATCTCTTCAGCCCCAAAGGAAGAATTTTTTAACTGTTGGTACACCGGCTTTATCAGAAACTGACAGATTATTATGTAAAAGTCATAATGAGTTTGAAGACTGTGGCTCAGTTATATTTTAAAATCTAACATTGATTTACTTATTTATTTATCTTAAGACAGGGCCTCTCACAGTATTCCATACTGGCCTGGAACTCATTGTGTAGCACAGGCTAGCCTCAAATGTGAGGTGATCCTCCTGCCTCAGCCTCCGGAGTGCTAAGATTGCAATCATATGCTACCACACCTCGCTTTGAAATCTTTTTTATTATCTATATTTGTTTTTAAGTCCTCAGTGTATGCCAGTAAGTAGTCAGATTTGAGAAGCCCATCCATCGTTATTCCCATCACATTTGATTAAAAAGTTTTACTTGGAGGTGTTCCGCTTACAGTTTATGTTGTACTGGGTCCAGATTTACACTTGGATGTGAATCGGTGAGTGGAAATTAAAGATCTTTCTAGGAGGAGATGAATCACTCTCAAGCTCAGCATGGATTTCCTGGGAACTTGTCTTAATGACAGCCATCCAGAAGAGCGCTTGCTCATTTTCTACACCTCATTGCACTGCAAGTGGCTGTCACATACTAGGGACACTCTTGAGATGGGCTATGTTAATTAACCATCTTCACTGGTGTTTGGGGGGGGGATAGTCTTCAGAAGACCGAGGACCCAAGTATTTATGAAAACTTGCTTTTTTATTTTCTAGTTACCAGAAATACACAGCTCTTGGCCCTATAGACATGTTCTCTGCATCTTTCACATCAAGACATTATTTTCCTTGATCTTTTTTCTTACTGCCACAATTAGAAATTGTTCACTTAAAATAAACTGTGTAGTTAGTACTCACAGTGATTTTTTTTTCCTTTTTGGAAACACATACCTCTTCTACTAGGAAGTTTTCTCTGAAAGCCCTAAATAAGCCCAACTGTTTCTAACTTCACCCTATGTAGGTTAGGACTGTAACGCTGTGCATTTAGCAGTTCCTCCAACTGCATGTTTTCCTACTTCTGTTTTATGATATGTCCCTTCCCTGAGTGTGAATTCTTCCTGTTGGGGGTTTCTATCAGGCCAACTTCCGTGCTTGTTTTCTATATTTATCTCAGCCCCCTCCTATGAATTCAGTTACCTTCTCACACTACAATTCTAGTTAAACAGCGTCACTGTTGGCGTTACTGAAATGAAACCCCAAGTACTGGAATCATATTCCCGAGATGACTGCAGAACAAGGTAATTGGTACTGATTTGTTTCTTCCACAGTCATCAAAAAAGCCTCATCGCTCTTCTCTGTGCTCTTCATACAAATTCCATGCATTTCCCCCCACAGTATACCCTTGGCCCATTCCTCGCGATTTTAAATGTGTACAACAAAAAATAATTTGACAGCCACTATCTTTAAAATGTCAGTTTTGTGGTGTGAGAATTTTGACTGATTTGGAAAAGTTTTTTGTTATTTTTTGTTTTGTTTTGGAATAAGATCCTATTTGAAGTTTGTCTTGAGTTCCTAGAACCCAGAAACATTAACTGTACTGAGTCAAATATTAGAGTACTAGGTTTACCAGTTTTATCACATTTCCCATTACCTAACCCATTTATCATATGGTATTGATGTACATAGCTTGTTATTTACAGAGACAAGCTATGTACATATGTGTAACGTATTTTTTTTTTTATTTCTGTGACAGATAGTAAGAGAAACTAAGGAAAGAAAGATTCATTTTAGCTCATGCTTTCAGAGATTCAGTCCATTGTGCAAGAAAGAAATAGTGGAGTGGAGTAGCTAGCTCACAAAAGTAGTTGAAAAAGTAGAGCAAGCAGTGGTGGTGCACGCCTTTAATCCCAGCACTTGGGAGGCAGAGGCAGAGGCAGGCAGATCTCTGTGAGTTTCAGGCCAGCCTGGTCTACAGAGCAAGTTCCAGGACAGTCAGCGCTGTTACACAGAGAGACCCTGTCTCAAAAAAATGAAAACGTAGAGCAAGCGATTGCTTGCAGTTTTAAATACCTTCTAGAAGGTTTACAATGATTTACATGTAATGACATTTGGAGATTTTGCTTTTGGTTTTGTTTTTGTAATACTTTTCTCCTGAAACCTCTAGTGTTTGTCTCCTTAATGCTTTTCTTCTCAGAATAAGCAGGTGAAAATCACGTTTGGATTCTCTTGCAAATACCATAACCAGTTTGGAGTAATGATGTATCATAACAACCGCCTTATTAAGGCCTTTGAGAAGGTGGGCTGTCAGTTAAAGGTGAGTGGTTACTGTTGCTTTGTCTCAGAGGCCTGCAAAGAATGAGAGGAGATTCGCAGGGAAGACAGATTCATTAATGGTTTCCAGCCCCATGTCATGTCAGTTATTAGATTCTGATACTGAAGTTCTGCATCAGTAGACAAGGTGTCCTATGTGGAAAAAAAAACTCTTTTATTTTTCAGGTGTTGACAGGCCAACTAGGTATCTATTCCTAAGGAGTAGAATTCAGTCACACCGTGTGTATCAGCTTATTAATGTGTCAAATAGCTCTAATTATTATCTTGTGGAGACGATAAGGTATATTGGAAGGTTCATAACATTTAGTGATTGGAAATCAAGATTTGTGCCCTATCTATAAAGCATATCCCTGGGTAAATCAAGTAATTCCTTTAAAGTTCGATTTCTATGCTAGAAAAGTGGGAAAAAGTTTTATTTATCTTCCTTTAAATTTAGAAGGTTAAAAGGGATTGAGTGTGATAAATGATACAAAGTATCTCCTAAGCCAAATAACACAAATGCTACCATTATCTTTGATGCTTTAATGATCATTTAGAGTAGTGATTTCCACAAGTAACTGTTTCATTCCTGGTCTGAAGATTAGGTGGCTGATGCACAGTGGATGCCACACTGCTTTGTGTGACATGGTAGGGCAGTTGTATACGCCCTAGGAGAGCTCACTGTGAGGTCTTGGTTCTTCCTGTTACATCATCTTTAAACAACTTCTGGTTATGTGTCAGTAAAGAGTAAAGCATACTTTAAAACGCCCAAATCTCTTGTACTTCAGCTCTGGCTCTGGGAGTTCCTTGGTGGCTTATCTTTGTGTGGAAACGTCCTGTGTTATAAGAGTCGGTGTGCTGATTACATCGCACCTCTAGTTTTTGGATAAGGTTTCATTTCGGTTCTGTAGAGCGTTAGTATATGATCTTGCTTTTTTTAGTAGTGTAAGTTCTTTATTGCAGTGAACCTCTTGGCAGTCTTAGACTATAAAACACATGACAAATGAAGTTGCGTGGATGAAGTATAGATAGTTACTAGAGCTGAGGAATTCTAGGGATCTGTGAATCATTGTTTGAACAATCTGAGAGACTGAAAAGGGGTGGATCTGGATGGGCGGGGAGGTGGAGGAGAACTGAAGGACTGGGAAGAGTAGAGGGAGGGGAAACCATAAGTGAGATATAGTACATGAAAAAAGTCTATTTCCAACGGATGGGGGTAAAAAAAAAGAAAATCTCTGCTGTTGCACTGGTCAGGATCCAGTCTATTAAAACATTTTCTAAGTGTTCCTCTACATCTTCATGGCCTTTTCTTACCCATGAATACTGTGTAACCCTTTCCATTATTTTTTGGAATCAAAAGGAAATGCCTCTAGGCTGTCAATAGTAATGTGTTGAAATTAACATTTTCTTCTAAGCCAACTTGTGGAGAAGGTGTGGGAGTAATTGGAGTCATTGAGTGCAATTTCCTAAAACCTGCCTACAACAAACAAGACTTTGAGTACACCAAGGAGTACCGGTGAGTCACTCTCAACCTCAGATGTTTCTGATAAATCGCAGTTTCTAAAGCACCACTAAGAGCCAGTTGGAGACGTTAACTCACAATGGCTTCAAGTATATTTTCCGAGATTAGAGATGAGTTTGCTTTTTCTCATTTTACCTTTAGAAATTACCAAATATAGAAATATTTTGACAAACTATTTCTAGTAAAGTGAAGGACCTTGTCTTTCATGAGAGCACATTTTGGGGCGAGAAATTTGCCCCATCAGTTTTCTAGAAGCCAGCGAACACTTTCAGACGTGTTAGAACAAAGGAAGACTGGTGTGCTCTCATGTCATCTAGGGAAGACACATAGCTCAGGATAAGACAGGAATTTGATATTGACCTTAAACCAATAAACATATTTGGGGAATTGAAGAAAGGAATTATTAAAATCGAGCTGAAAATAGGTTTGGGGTTTAGGATACAGCTCAGTAATAGACTGCTAGCCTAGCACGAATGAGACCCTAGAGATGATACCTCTTATGTGTTAGGTAAAGGACATAGGCTGAAAAATTACAATCCTTGATTGTTATGAACTCATGTGGTATATGAAAATCTGAAACTTAAATACACGTAAATAACTAATGTGTTTATGCAAGCTGAGGAGAATCTTTGTCTATTTGTTTATTTATTGTTTTTCGAGATATTATTTCTCTCTGTGCCACTGGTTGTCCTGGAACTCACTCTGTAGAGCAGGCTAGCCTCGAACTCACAGAGATCCACTTGCATGTGCCACCACTGCCTGGCTGAGGGGAACTTTTAAATATGACTAAAGAAAATCAAGGAAAGCTTCACAAAATAAATTAGCTTAAACTTAAAGGAAAAGCTGATGCTTTCTCGGTGAACTAATGCGAAGGGTACTCTAGAGCAGTGCTTCTCAACCTTCCTGATGCTCGACCCTTTAATATAGTCCTTCATGCTGTGTGACCCCGACAAGAACATTATTTCATCACTACTTCATAACTGTAATTTTGCTACTGTTATGAATCATAATGTGAATAGTTTGGGAGATAGTTTGTCAAAGGGGTCACGACCCCACATTGAGAACCATTGTTGTGAGCAAAGAGTATAGTTAATGGCACAGAAAGGCCAGAGATGTTCTTGGGATGTGAAGAAAGAGAAGATGGGAGAACATTGGGTATCGTTCAATTTAAAATCCCAACAGTATTTTTTTTCTAAGAGTGGGAGGAAAAAAATCATTTCTCAGAAGTGTTTTCTGTGCTTCAAGCTACAACAAAATTAATTAAATGTTCCTTCATTTATTTGAGACCGTAAGAATTTTAGATGCAGGATTTGACAAAGAGATAGCAATTTGAATGGCAATTCCAAATTAATTTCAGCACAATTGGGTTTTAGTCGCTCAGGCTTATCCGTGGTTATGGCAACGGTGTGCTTTGGAGCCAAATAAATTAATCATTTAAATGTGAGTCTGACCCGTAATGAAGACCTTTTAACCAAGACTTGTCTCCTAAATGTGAAAGTTTAGAAATAACATTGGTTTAATGGAACCAGATATTCCTTCTCTTGAGTGAAAGTGATGAATTTATGATAATTACCTAAATAAAATCTGTGAAGTTCAAATGTTAGACATTAAAGTGTTTTAACAGCTTTCTATATTATTGTTGCCAATGTACCAACCATAAAAATCTATATTTTTTTCTTTTGAATACATTAGACATTTGATTTTGGATGCCTGGTTTTGGTATGATGAATTTGAGGTGATTGTAGAGAGTTCACATAAAGGCATGTAGGATTTCTGCTTAAGTAATTTAATCGTTATGCACATTTATTTTCCAAAAATCAGAATGACAGCACTAATATACATAGAGTTTTGTGTGTAATAAATTTGCCAGTTCAGGCATCATTGCCATCTCTTTTTAAAATATTTATTTTTCTTTTATGTGTATATTTCCTGTGTGTGCGTAAGTGTATCATATGTGTGCCCAGTGATGGTGCATGGCAGAAGAGAACAAGTCCGCTGGAACTGAAGTTGCAGACAGTTGTGAGCTACTGTATGAGAGCTGAGAACAGAACCTGGGTTCTTCTCCAAGAGCAGCAACTACACATAACCACTGATTTCTCTATCTAGCCCTACTTTTTTAAAAGACAAGGTCTCATATAGTTCATATGTCTCATATAGTTCATGCTTGCTTCAAACCCAATATGTAGCTGAAGGTAGCTCTGAATTCTTGTGCTTCCATACTGTCCTACATCTCACAAGTGTTATGATGAAAAGACTGAATCATCATGCCCTATGCCTTTATGCTGGGAACTAAACCCACATATGTAACTGGAAGTTTCTCTCCCACCTGCTAGTTCCCAAATAATCACTCTGAGGTTTAATATTAATTAATAAATTGGTTGGCCTATTGGCTCAGGGTTATTATTAACTAGCTCTTACAACTTAAATTAACCCATTTCTACTATTCTTTATTTACCACAAGCCTTGTAGCTTTTTACCTTTAGCTTTCTTCTTGGGCAGCTGCTAGCATTGCCCTCCACCCCACCTTCTTTCTCCTATCTCTGCTGGAATTTTGTGCCTAGCTGTATTCTGCCTTGCCATAGGCCAAAGCAGCTTTATTCTTCAGCCAATAAAGGCAACACATTTGCAGCATACAGAAGGCCGTCCCACATCATACATATGTAAGCATAAATCTATTACTGAGTTATATTCCCAGCCCTATTGACCTTTATGTAAACTTCATACAAAGTAAGAAAGATTTTAGATAAAAACATGGGAATTTGAAAACAAATATGGGGGCTAATCCCAACACTCAGGAGCTATGGCAATGGGATTATGAATTCAAGGCCAACCTGGGCTACAGAATGAGTTCTTGGGCAGCCTCATCTACATAGCAAGAACCTCCATTTCCTTTGTCCCTGTCAAAAATCTGAATTTGAGAGAAGGATTAGAAAATATTGCTGTCACAAATTCCTGTGACTACTACAGATTCAAAAGTAAAAATGATAAAAGAAATATAAGGTATCATATTACTAAAATATCTACAAAGAAGTAATCTTAATACATCACTATGAACCATCTGGATATTAGATTTTAGCTATAAATAACATGGTTGATGCTTAAAACATTTTTAGAATCAACGTCACCTTAAAAATGCAACCAAAGCATATTAACTGAGCAAGCCATTAAAACATAACACAGTGACTAAGTTTGGTAGAATCTTCCAAAGAATTTCAAAACAGAGTTGCTTAAGGGCTTTGCATTCTGTTTGTAAGAATATACCATCACACATTAAAAACAACTAAATAGCAGTAAAATGGCTCATAGACCTCTTTGGTGCTATGTAGGAAAAATGCTCTGATGGGACAGATAAGGAAAGTTTTAGGTAGATGATGTGACTTCAGATAGCCTTAAGTGGATCTCTGAGTTCATGACCAGCCTGGTGTATGGAGCGAATTTCAGGACAGTCAAGGTTACACAGAGAAATTCTGTCTCAAAAAACCAAACAAACAAAAGAGATATTCCCTAAAAGATACAAGATTCGAGCTGTAGAGAGATGGTTCTGTGACTAAGAGCTCTGACCCAGATTCGATTCCCTGCACCCACATAATGGCTCACAACTGCCTGTAACTGTAGTTCCTGGGGATCCAGCAGCTACTTTTGGCCTCCATGGGCACAAGAGAAAGATGTGGTGTACAGCCATGCGTGCAGAGAAAACACCCACATGTATAAATAAATAATAAACAATTAAAAGGATACAGGATGCCAAAAAGGAAGGGAATTCTTGTATAGAGTTATGGCATGAGCTACTGCATTGACAAGAACTCTGAAGGGGACGTGGAGACGAGGTGATGTACTAGAGTGAAGAAAATCAAACAAAATGGATACTGTAGGGCCATGTCCTAAAGCAGAGATTAGCAAGTATTTTCTGAGAAGGCCAGAGAGAAATATTTGGGCTTTTGTAGGCCACACACAGTCTCTTATCCAACTTTTTAATTCTGTCATAGTATGAAAGTATACATTGACAGTAAGTAAAGGTGCGAGTATTGTTCCAGCACAGTTTTGTTCACAAAAAAGGCAGTGAGTCCAGGTTATAGTTAGCACATCCTTTTCTTAGAACCCTATATCTGAACTATGTGCCAAGTTATATCTAATGGATTCAGAGGAATCAGACAATAATTTACATTTTAGGGAAGAACAGTATACTCAACTTCTGTCCACAAGCAGCAGAAAGCATCTTCTATTATTGTAAATATTTACCATCAATTTAGTGGCTTAATATAACACTAACTTATTGTATTAGAGTTCTGTAGGTTAGAAGACTTGACTCAGATCTCACTAGGCTAAAATCAAGATGTTGGCAGGCTGGCTTCCTTTCTGGAGACTCTAGGGGAGAATCTGATTCCTTTTCTTTTTCAACTTTAGAGACTGCCAGCATTCCTTGGCCCAAGGCCCTCTTTTCCAACTTCAAAGTCAGCAGTGATGAGTTGCATCCTCTTGGCGTTGCATCATTCCAGTAACCCTGCTTCCATAATCACATTGCCTCCTTGGATTCTGACTCCTCTGCCTCACTCTTCCACACTTGAAGGCCTGTAGTTTCATTGTATCATTTAGAAGCTTTTCCTACTTTAAGGACAGTCAGTGAGTAACAGTAACTCTCTTATTGTGTATAACTTAAGATAGTCACAGATTTTACTGTGAATAGCCTAAGTTATTCACAGATTTTAGGGATGGGACCTAGACATCTTTGAAAGACTATTATCTTATTTATCAGCCTGTCCTCGGGCGCTTCAAGATTTATTTCTCACATTCAAAAAGTGATTGCCCTATTCCATCCCAACATCATCAAAATTTTCAGAGTCTAGAGTCTTAACTAAATGTCATCAGCTCAAAAGTATGTTAGAAGTCTTGACTCAGATCTCACTGGGCTAAAATCAAGGTGTTGGCAGGCCGTCTTCCTTTCTGGAGGCTATAGGGGATTCATTTTCCATAATCACATTGCCTCCTCTGAGTCTCTCCCTCTCCCTCTGCCCTCTCCCCACTCCCCCCCCCCACACACTTTAATGCTAAAATATAATAGCAGGAGATGCACAGGACACCAGTTATATAAAAGTTCTGTGTCAAGTGGGGTTTAAATAGAAAAGAAAAAAAGAGTTACAGGCACCAAACAATTTCATAAATCCAGCTAGGCAAATTCCATTAAATAGCAAACACAAGACGTAATTCTGTGGGACTTATAACACTGCCCCCATCACTAAAACTCTGCCTTCAGGGCTATGGTTCAACTCACAATTATCTGTTCATGAAGACTAGTATATTTTTACAGCAGAGTAGTTTTGTCAATTTTATCTTCATTAGAGTCTTTTTAGTTATTTTATTTTTGTGATGATAATATAATTGTATCATTTTCCCTTTCCTCTCTCCAGACCCATATACCCCTCCTTGCTCTTTCAAATTCATGGCTTCTTTTTTTTCAGCAGTCATTGATACATACACATATGTATGCATGTATGCATATGTAATCGTAATTACAGCCTGCTCCGTCTGTATAACGTTATTATAGGTATATAGTTTTAGAAATTCAGTAGGATTCTTTCATTATACATTCTCCCCCATTTAGTCATGTCACTTGGAGCTCAAAGTGTTTGTGCTCCTGCCCTCTCAAAAACCTTGTAGGTCTTCCATGGATGTGATAAATATTCATTCCATTTAACAAGAGGCTCTTGACTGATCTTCCCTAGACAATCTGATTTCTCTTCTTGGCCTCAGCTGAGATGGTTGTGAAGGTCTGTGAGTCACATGCTTCATATTCCCAAAGAGCCTTGTATGTGCCTGGATATTTTGACCTTTTGATCTGACTGCAATAGTAGCTAATGATTGGCCACCCCTACTCTTCATTCACAGAGCTCACAGCCCTAACAATGAATCTGTACATTTTAATATCTTTTGTGATTTTTGACTGACTGAGAACATTCCAGATTGTCAAATTCTGTTTCCTTTCCCATTATTAGTTCTTTTCATTTCTCTTTGCTTTCCTGCCTTTTGCATGACCAGCCAGAGGACACAACTTCAGCAGTTTTTCTAGAGATCTCTTCAGCCAAATGTACAAGTTCATCAGGTCCAAGCTCTGAGCTCCATGAATGTACAGGACATGTTTCTGCTAAGCTTTCTGTGACTGTGTAGCTAGGATCATGTTTCTGATTTTCCAGTAACGTGTGGGCTCATTTTCCCTGAGCCTGGATTAGAGCAACTTTACCATCTGTCTTTCTAACTCTGTTTACAGTGATTTAGACATTCTTTAAGGCAATCTCTAGCTTCTTCTCTACCATGCTTCTCCACTTCCTTCTGAGCCCTCATCAGTTTAGTTAACATCCATCCAGATATTGATTGCCAGTCTGCTTGATGCGATTTAGGCTCTGGCGTGTTTCTCAAACCTTTGCCAAATTTCTTTATTTTCCTTTTATTCTGTTTTTAGACAGGGCCTTGTGTAGCCTCAAGATCACTGTATAGCCAAAGACAACTCTGAACTCCTGATCCCCCGAAATGTCCCAGGCAGTTAAATTTCAGTTCCAAAGCAACTTCATCATCTTTAGTTGTTTTTTCTAGTAGTACTCTGTTTCTAGGCACCACAATCTGCCATATTCTTTCCTATTGAATTTTTTAAAATATTTATGTGAATGTGCACACACATGTGAGCATATACATGCTCAAGACCTGAAGATTGATAGCACGCTTTACCCACTGAATCAGCTCGAGGGACCTGTAATTTTTTTTGTCATATCATATTGTATCATATTTGTGAATTTGGGTTGACGCCATTTGGATTTAAAGTGATCATTGGTAAGGGAAGACTTCTGTCATTTGGCAATGCGTTTTATAGCCTCTCTCATTTCCTACATCACTGTGTTTTATGTTTAGGTGATGTTTTATAGTGGAATGCTTAAATTCTTTTCTTGTTTCCTTTTATATACATGCTCTAGCTAGTTTCCACGTAGTTATCATAAAGGCTACATTTAAGATGCCTCTGTCTCTTTCTTTTGCCTTTAGACCTCTACAGTGCCTATGATGGACCACTGGTGGTGCCTCACATGGCCTTCAGGCTTTGTTTCCATCTCTTCAATTTTCTTTCTTATTGGTCCTCAATTTTAGTAATTTCTCAAAGTTCCCAGATTTGTCTTTCTGTCCCACTTTTGAATCTATCAAGTGAATGATCTCTTCTACATTTTATTTCAGTTCTTTTTAAAAAGTTTTCTGTCTCCTTATTGCTATCACTATTTTTAACCTCTTTGAACTTGACTTTATTCACACCTTCCTTGAATTTTTTTCTTTTTCTTTCCTTTTCTTTTTCTTTTCTTTCTTTTTTTTGCATCTTTAATCCAGAACTTTTTCAGAGACTGTTTATTTGGATTTCATTTTTCTTTAATCATACCATATTTTCTAGTTTCTTTGTATGCACTATGATTTTTATAACAATAATTCTGGAAATGAGTTAGGAAATCTTTCCTAAGATTTGCTGTGTTTATGTTTATTTGATGTCAGCGGTGTGGTTTGCTGTAAGCTATCTCTGTACCAGGGACTTGGTAGAATGTAGACTTAAAATTGTCTCACTTGTTTTCTGAACCTATATTTTCCTCTGGAAATTCAAAATGACTTTCTAATTTTCTATATATGCATATATGTGTGGTTGCATGTTATATGCATGCATATACTATGTATATACGTGTGTGTGTGTATGCTTTTTAAATATCTTCATTTTTAACATCTGGCTCCCCAAACAAGAAAAAGTATGAAGAGGTGAAAAAAAAAGTTTTATCACTTCGAAAGTCCTGGACATCACTTCAGTTAGAGGAGAAACCTGTAATCGTGGAGAATATAACAGAAAAGGCCACTTGTCCGTTGTGTGATCTGAAATAGTAGCACTGAGAGCACGGGCCACTATCCTTGAAGGATACGAACCCTTTTCCCTACCATGGTTCTTCTAAGTGACTTGGGGAATGCCTGAAGGATTCTCTGCCATAGCACTAGAAGTGGAGAATGCTAAGAACAGAAATCGACCAAAATTAACCACAATTACCACCTAAGTGTTCCAAAATACTGATTGTTGAATATTAACTGGATTTGTTTCAGGTTCTTATAGCAGCTGTGCAGTAAATGCCAAGGAAACGTTTTCCTTATTAGTATTAGTTCTCTGTGATCAAGCAGATTGTGCCAGTGCAGTTGCTGTCTAGGCAAGGAGACCGAGTCCACATGCCTCCTACTTACTTTCCCAGGATCCCATCACATTTTCTCTATCAAGTAGACCTTGAAGAGGAAAGAGAACATGTAGTATGACTTGAGGGAAGGCTGTTAACAGAGTGATGAAAGCATTGGTAGTAGGAGAGGGATGAATTAATCTAGGAATGTGCCTATGGTGATTTTAGTCTTGTGTATGTAGTGAGAATCTAACTTAAATGGGTAAGGTGGCAGTAAGGAAGAGGTGTATGGAAGAAGCGATCTGCACACATGCCAAGTAATGATCCCAAGTGTGGAAAGAGGCTTGAAATTTCTCAAGCTTATAGTGTTCCAGGTATGTGTACATTTGCATTAAGTTATAATACTGGGAAATAGAACTTAATAGCAATTATTCATTAAATAAGAAAGCAAACTCAGATTCAGCTTCATTGTAGAAAAACGTTGAAGAAACATTTTCCATGTTACCACTGTGCTGCTGTGGTTAGTATCTGCAGATGAACTATAAAGACAGATCAAGCTAACGTTTGATCGATTTTTAATAGCTAAGTTTTTTTGTGTATGAGCCTCTAATTTTTCTATTTGATCCTGAGTTATGTCCCTATAATTATCTGAAAATTTAATAATTCATCAGTATTTGTCTCTGTCCTCATTCTCTTACAGTCTCTAATGACAACAACATACTCATTCCATGATTCTATAAGACTTGAAAAAATCTAGACCATTCTACTTTTTTGGATCTTACAACCATTTTAACTTCACAGCCAGAGTGACTATCAGTAATTATGATGGTAACATTATGATATTTTTTTCTGGTATAGTTTTCACTGTGGTTTTATTATAGGATGTATCAAAGGCAGTTGACCCTTTATTAGTTTTTTAAGTTGTAGGTGTTCAAAATTATGCTGACTATTCTAAATTGCTGGATTCTGTTCAACAGGCTCTTCTGAGAGATAAAAAATTATTCAGGTATGGAACCTTGACATACTCCTTGCATTTTCTTTCAGGTCGACAATGAGTGCTCTTGCCCAGAAGCTCAATGCTTATTGGAAGGAAAAAACATCTCAAGAGAATTTTGAGAACTTACCTACATCCAGGCCAGTACCATCAGTAATAAAATATAGAATGTGAAAACATTAAGGGTAATGTCTTTCCATCAAATAGAAGAAACAAGGATAACATAGTGTTTTTTACATCAGGAAGGTTGATTAACAGCAATAGGGAAAGCACAGGTACTAATTGTTATGATTTTTTAAAAATGCTGCAGGATCCCCAGTGGCAGTAGGCAGCAAAAATGTTGTAGGTCCCCAAATGGTGGTAGCAGGCCATGTGGTGGCAGGCAGCAGGCCCTGGGAGATGGCGGGCTGGTCCCAAGTTCCCAAGGACAAGCGGCATGTGGGCAGGCGAGTGGGTGGGAGGCACATGGAGAGACACAGTGTACAGAATAGAATTGGATATTTATTAGTTGAATTATGGAATGGGAAGGAAAGGGGGAGAAAGGGGGAAAGAGAGGAGAGAGAGAGAGAGAGAAAGAGAGAGAGAGAGAGAGAGAGAGAGAGAGAGAGAGAAGAAAAAAAGAGAACAGAGAGAAAGGGAAGGAAGAAGAAGGGGAACACACGGGGCCAAAGGGAACAGAGAGAGAATCAAGATGACGAGAGGAGGGGAGGGGCTGCAGGGAGTGGGCGTGGCTTGTCTCTTAAAGTGACAAATAATCATAACACTAATTATATCATTTTACCTCTTCATTCTGTTTTAAGACGTATGTGGTTTGGATAATACATGTGAAAGGTTTAATGCTGTCAGTTTAGGAGAGACTAATACAGTGGGGGATTATCAGACACTCCTCGGTGGAAAGTCTAGACCTTGGTTGTTGAGTGCACTTCAGTGAGTCACTTCACCTCTCTGTATTGAGTTAGACTTCATGATTTTAGAACAGTGCATGGCACAGGGTAGGTGTTCAGACATGCTAACAAACTTGCTTCCTTTTTATTCTTGCTAAATTTTATTGTGACTGAACAGGTATTTCAGAGCAGAAATAGAGAATGAGACACATTAGAGGAAAATCAGTGGTTACTGAGTTTATTCCTTGTAGATACGGCGAAACAGATCAGCACAGAAGCCAAACTGTGTAACAACATACATACAGTTAGTTATAACATCACCAAGCTAGATAGCAAAGTGGTAGAGATTACACTGCCCCTCTCATGAGGGGAGGCATCTACGTTTTAAAACAGAAATTACTAAATCAATGTATGGTGCAAAATTCTATTTCAAATGCAATCTGAATGCTGAATGTATATTTCTACATTATTCTCAAGATCTCAGCTTATTTCAATCCGCCACTTTTGTCAAAAATTTGAGTTAAGATTAGATGATATTTGTTCTTTCAAATTAGCTCTGATTGATGTAGTGAGACAGAAGTTGATATATTGCTGGGGCATGTAAGATCTAGCAGCAGATTTTTTTCCTTTTAAATTTGTTATTTAATTAATTTACTTTGCATCCAGTTTCCCTCTCCCTCCTATCCTCTCACCTCTCCTTCACCCCACAACTCAATCCACTCCTGTTTCTGTTCATAAAGATGCAGGCCTCACACGGGTATCAACAAAGCATGGCATATCAAGTTGCCGTAAGACTAAGCATCTCCCCTTGTATTAAATTAAGACTGGGCAAGGCAATCAGTATGAGAAGTAGGTTTCCAAGAGCCAGACAAAGCATTAGAGACAGCCTCTTCTCCCACTGTTAGGAGTCCCAGAAGTAGAACAAGCTTCACAACTGTCACAAATATGTAGAGGACCTAGATCAATCCCATGCAGGTTCCCTGATTGTTGGTTCAGACTCTGTAAGTTCCTATGACCCAGGTTAGTTGATTCTATGGGTTTTCTTGTGATATTGTTGACCCTCTGGCTCCTACAATCCTTCCTCCCTCTCTTCAGCAGGATTCCCGAGCTCAGTCTAATGTATGGCTGTGGTTCCCTGCATCTCTTTCCATCAGTTACTGGATGAAGACTCTCTAATGACAATTTAGGTAGTCATCAACAGCGGAAGGCCAGTTCAGGCATCCTCTCCACTATTGCTAGGAGTCTTAGCTGGGGTCATCCATCCTTGTAGATTTGTGGAAGTTTACCTTATATCAGGTTTCTACCTGATCCCCATGCCCCCCTTTCCAGTCATCTCTTTCACTACTATCTTCCCATCCACTCCCAGACCCAATCCCTCAATTTCCATCCCCACCTGCTTCCAGCCCACCCAGGAGATCTCTTCTGTTTCCCCTTCTCAGGAAGATCCATGAATTCCCCCTTGGGCCTTCCTTTCTACTTAGCCTCTCTGGGTGTGTGGATTGTAGCATAGTTATCCTTTGTTCTACAGCTAATATCCACTTATGAGTTAGTACATACCAGGGTGATTTTTTTTCTAGTTCCATCCATCTGCCTTCAAATCTCCTGATGTCGTTTTTAACAGCTGAGTAAATACTCCATTGTATAAATGTACCACATTTTTTTTTATCTATTTTTCAGTTGAGGGGCATTCACGTTGTTTCTAGGTTCTGGCTATTACAAATAAAGCTACTATGAACATAGTTGAACGGATGTCCTTGTGGTATAATTGAGCATCCTTTGTGTACATTCCCAAGAGTAGTATATATAACTGGGTCTTGAGGTAGACCAAGAAACTGCCATATTGATTTCCAAAGTGGCTGTACAAGTTTACACTCCCACCAGGAATGTTCCCCTTGCTCCACATTCTCTCCAGCATAAGCTATCATTTGTGTTTTTGATTTTTGCCATTCTGATGGGTATAAGATGAAATCTCCAAGTAGTTGTGATTTGCATTTCCCTAATGGCTAAGGATATTGAATATTTCTTTAAGTGCTTCTCTAGCAGCAGAATTTTAATAATAGAGATTATTTATTGAATATTACTTAAGTTCCAGACATTATTCTTAGTTCTTTTCATGTAATAATTTATTCAGTAATCCACAGAACTCTCAGTATACAGGTATTATTACTTTGTAACTAGAAAGCCCAACATACAAAGAACTTACACCCTTTGCACAGGATTAGTCAAGTAGAATATAGTAGAGCTAAGATTCAAATTAAGCACCCAGGTCCTTGAAGCTACACTCTTTTGGAGGGATATAGCAAGGGCAATATATATAACTCCTTTAACTTTATATTTACTGCAGGCAGAAGCTCTACCGCCCTTCTTTTTGCCTGGGTTGAAGGATTCACCGTGGTCTGTTTGTAGCTGCTGCCTCTTAATGTTCTTATCCTCAAGAGTAATACAGGCATCTTTCTGCAAGACATTCTTCTGTGCAAATGTATCTAAAACAAAGCTAACACAACCTTTCCTCTCCTCCTCCACTTCTGCTGAAACTGCTGTCCAAGGGCTCCGGTTTTGTAGCTGTGTGAAAGTAACAGACAGCAGAGGTCAGGCCTGAGCATAGAGCTTCAAAGTTGCAAGTCTGGAGCAACCTAGAGCAATAGGGAGGTCAAAAAGTGTGCGAAAACTTTGCTAAATAGATTTTTTTAAAAAGAGTATTTGAGTGGCACAAGTATCTTTTATTTTCTTCTTTATATAGTTCTCTATTTTGCAGTTTTCCATAATGGGATAATGTTACTTTTAAAACTAATAATAAGAAGTAGGACTTAATACAATGAAAAATGACTGAAAGAAGTCCTAAAAGAACCATACCACTTCATTGACCAGCCTAGCAGAAGAGCAGTAATCTGCAGGATACACAAAACTCACCCTGGGCGTAAAGTGGGCCAGAGGTGCCTCTCTCCTTCCTGTGTTTTCATCAACCTTGGAGTTCTCCAGTACAACTCTGCACACTATTTATACCTTCTGCTACCTCCGTGCTACTCCATCCCACGGGAAAATGAATTCACTATAATCTACAAGTGATTGGGTTGCACACTTCTGGAATTGACGAGGGTGGATATGCATTTGGAGAGGTCAACCCTGGATGAGTTTATCCTAATCATTTCGACCAATTGTTGGAGCCATCATTTATAGCTAGGAAATATAATCAAAGTGTATTGCCTTTTGTGATGGATGTTGGGAATAACATAATCACACAATAATGTGATTGCGGCAATATAAACACATGGTTTGATGTGATGCAGGAGTCAAACTCAGAACCTTGTACACGCTAGCAAGCTGCACACTGAGCTACATCCCTAGGCCCAAAGGGCAGGTTGTGAAAGGGAAAAGAGAAAGCAAAAACATTCAGGGAAGTGGGGGAAAGCGTTCAGGGAAGTGGGGGAAAGCGTTAAGGGAAGTGGGGGAAAGAGTTTGATGACAGAGAAATCAGGAGTGTGCTCGGAAGTAGGGGAGAGATTTTGATGACAATGCTTCCTCTGTGCCTCCGTAAATACATTTAAAATTTGTTCAGTGACTGGACAAGAAAATAAAACAATTGGGTGAGTTTTATTCCTTTATAGCAATGTATGATACACATACTTTTCTCAAGTTAATAAATCTCAGAGCTAAAATTAACCTATTATTTTCTCAAAAAAGGATTCTAGAATAAATATTATTATCCTCTACAAATAATTGTAAATCAGTATGTTTTGTATCCACATCTGGTATAGTTATCTAGGTTGCTCGCAATACAGACACTTCAGGCATCAAGATTATACAATTTCTAGGCATTTTTCCACATAAAAATTTTGTTTTCATTTTTAGGACATACCTTTTAAATGTAGGACAAAGCCCAGAGCTCGGATCTATACAATAACATTTCTGGTTTTCCTCACCCAGGAAGATTCCCGACCAGACATGGGTACAGTGTGATGAATGTCTTAAGTGGAGGAAGCTTCCTGGGAAGGTGGATCCATCCACATTACCTGCAAGATGGTTTTGTTACTATAACCCCCATCCAAAGTACAGGTAATTTCTAGGACTCAGTATTCTTTTGATGACTCCTGATTTGTCTTCCTATTTCACAGAACCACTTCATATCAAATCTATCTTCTTTAGCCTGGCATTCAAGCCCCCTATGCTGGCTGGCCCCATTTTAACTATGTAGCTAACCTCATTTTTCATTGTAGTTTACCAAACCCCTACAAGGCACTATTCTCTACACATGCCATGGCTATTCTCCCCTCCATGACTCCGATAGTGTCGTTTTTCTTGATTGAAATGACTTTCTGTATCCCATGTTCCATTTCAAATCATAACAGTCTGAGGAGCTGAACTCTTTTGTGGCAGCTTTTCCTCTTAATAGCATTTTTTGATGATTTCACTCTGACCTCCCGCAGCATTTGATTCTTGACTTTTGTTCCTATGCCATTTTTTATTTGGGAGTATTTTTCGGGAGTTTATTTATTTATGTTTGATTCTACAGGAGCTTTTAAGTTCTTTAAGACTAGGTTCCTTACATTCCACCCTGAGTCAATAGCTTTCATATGTCTCCTCTGTAGGATCAATGTAAATAGAATCTGTTGCACAGGCAATGATGTTTGTTTGCGTCTTTGTGTTCCTAGTGCCATATGTTCCTTATAGCAGGCAACGTCTAAACAGTGCCCGCCATAACTCAGTAGTTACGTGTGTTCCTAACAAGTCAGCCTGCTTCCATCCAGCTGTGATCTCTTACCTACTCTTCTTTTCACGGACCACATGCTGGTAAATAGAAGGTAGTCCAACAGAGTACGCTTTTTAGAGAAAATGTCCAAAGGGGAAGCAAGTACGTGAGTGAAGGCTAGGAAGCACACCTCCGTGGTCTCCACATGTGCCTGTGGACAGGAAATGAGACTGAGTGGTCAGGTTATGAAATTGACTTCTAGAAGCTTCTTTGTTAATGCTTTCCTCTTTGGACTATGCTGTCTTTTATCTTTTCACAGTTAGGCCAGGAGAGAGCCTTCTAATCTGCTTTACTCCCTTGCAAAATGAATATAATGCAATTGCCATCTGATACTCCTGTTTATCAAATTTTTTTTGCATTACTTGTGGCCACCGAATAAATTGGTTTGTGCCTTTGGTTCTTCCTCCTGAGATTCCCTTCCCAGTGCTATACGTATAGCTAGCTTGTGTGGTGTGAATGGGATCCATACTGGAGAATGTTACCCAATTAAGCTGCTCTATCATTAAGTTGCCCTTAAGGGAGGTAAAGAGTAAAAGCTTGAACCACATTTTGCTTCCGAAAGATGACTTCCTGTCTGTACCACAGGCGATGCTCTGTTCCAGAAGAACAAGAACGCACCGAAGATTTATACCTGAGCAAGGCTAAGCAACAGTTGAGTATACGTGAGGTGGTACTCTGTTTCCTAGAGCGGAGGGACCACTCACCCTGTCATAAGACAAGGGGTTGAGGAGGGAGATAGCTTTGCAGGGCTCTGTGCTTGCCCTCCTCACCTGTGTGCTCTGCCCGTTCTTCCTTCTGTCACCTAATCCAGAACGCCTCAACTTGCTATGGTCTGCTTGGTCATTCTCCTCCCTGCTCCGCACACTCACGCACACGCACGCACAGACACGGAGCAAGAGTTTGCAATCTCTCCAGTAGCATAATTCAGGAATATAGCCCAGTTTCTCTGAACTTCATGAGTGCGCTAAATAGCACGTTATTTACAGCCAGTCTCAGTACGCAGTCTAGACTTACCTGTAACTCACTCTGTAGACTAGGCTGGCTTGGAGCTTGCAGTCCCCCGACGTTGGCCTCCAGAATCTAAATAGCACTTTTATCTTCTAGAGATGAAACCGTTGAGAAGAAGCAGCCGCCTATGGAAGGTGACAAGCACCAGGTGAGACACAGGTTCATGCTTCCTCTTCTCACACCGTTTTCCGCCCCCGCAGGATTCAGGTTGAAGACCATTGCCCAGCAATGCTGAGGGTTTCTTCTCATGCTCTCTTCTTCGGATTGGCTCTTTGGGTTTTGTGTTGATCTTCTGTTGTTGCTGTTCAGATCACTGAAACAGAAGAGTCACGTCATTTATTTTCCAGACTTGGATCCGTACCGATTCTGGGCAGTGGAAATGACACCTCTGATGTCACTTAGCAGTTGTGTGCCATCTTCATAAGCTGCTCCTCTTGAGTGTCTGGTTTTCCTGTCTCCTTTCTTTTGGGATTCAGGGATCATTCCTTCCTCTTTTCTCTTGGGAAGAAGGGTTGGTTCTTTGTGCCTCCCCGCCCCCGCCCATCCCTGCTTTCAGGCTGGCTGGCTTTATAAAGACTCTGCTGTTTTGAATTTTCAGGAGCACTGTCTCTCGGACATGGTTGCCCAGCTCCGGACGCTGAAGGGTGCAATAAGGTTGGCCGTCCTTTCAGGGACACTCCTTTCCTGACAGCCACCATAGCACCCATATATCTCTCCCACCCCTCCTTGCCTTTCTGCATGATTTCCCTATCTGCTAGTCGCATGTTAGATTCACTTCCTTCCCCAGTTGGGCAGGTCAGACTAGTGAGGAGAGCGGCAGTTTAACACTAATAACGATTCTTCACATACCCTACTCAAACCGAGGCGTGTGAGCAATCACGGTTCATATCCTATGTCTGTACAGAGACCGGGATTTCCAGGACTGCCCTATCCTCATTCAGTTTGCCTTCCCTTTATTCTTTCACCCTAATTACTCGTATTTTCTTCATATGCTAGCTCTCCTACCAGATCCCAGGTGCATGTCTGTGTGTGCACTGTGAACATGTGGTAGGCTCTGGCATGTGTCTCTCCTAAACCAGCAGATATTTGCTGCAATGCTTTTCCTCTCCACCCATGTTTTCAACACAGAGCTCGAAAGGATGAAAGCCCAGCCTTCACCTGGGTTGCAAGAGCGAAATAGACAGCGATTGGGGCCTGGGTTTGTCTTGTGGGTGGGATAGGTCTAGTAACCAATACAAGAGTTGGGAACAGTCTGTTGGTGTCTAGCTGATAAGGTTAGTGACTGAATGTGTTTGGGGTCAGTGTTCTAGTGTACATTACTGTGCACTGTTTGTTCTGTCTAGGAAACACTTACTTTGTATTTGGCCAAGCATTCTTTCCTAGCATCAGAAGGATTGACACATCTTTTGCTATTTTGTTCAAACTTGGGATTTTTATGAACTATTTCTTTTTTGTTAGGTCCTCAGTAATCCACCAAAGATTACTACTACACCAGAGATGGCTGAACTAAATGACAAGATGATTGGATATGAGCAGATCAATAGCCCGAGCCTTCTTCCATCCGGTGGAGAAGAAAACAAATCACCTCTTCAACTGAAGTCGCTGGATTCCAGTGTTTTTCAGTTTTCCAGGTGACTAAAAACCATCATTTGCTTTCAGAAACAAGTCTTAGAGTCTGTTTTCCTGTAGAGTAATTTGATGTCACTTATAATACCTATTATATATACTATATATGTAATGTATGTGTGTGCATGTATTGTCTGACCTCACACTCACAAAGAGATCCACCTCCCTTTTCTTTTCAAGTGCTAGTGCTATGGTGTGTACCACCATGACAGGTAAGTTTTTTTCTTAACACATGAAGTTCATTCATGAAAATATAGTTTGGGATTGATAGAATTGTGTCTTGCATGCACCCCCTAGTTTTCCCTTCTTATAACTGCTATGTCGAGCCTATATATTTTTGAAATGGTTGCTGTCTTGTGCTATATAAATAAGGAAATGCTATATAGAAAATAATTGTCCTATACTTCATTAATATTAAAGTCTACAGAGGATTCATAGGCCTATGATATGTTGGCCCTGTATAAGATTAACTAGTAGAAATATGTCCCTAATGATCATACACTGTTTACTAGAAAATAAGTCATCCCCAAAAGTTTGTTCTTGCATGACATGGTGGTACAAGTCTTTAATCCCAGCATCCAGGAGGCAGAGGCTCCTATGTGTTTGAGAGCAGCCTTGTCTGCATAGTGGATTCCAGGCCAGCCAGGTTACACAGTGAGATCCTGTCTGGAAAAAAGTTTGTTCTTGGGCTTCACTTCGTTTTCTTCTGCCTCGTCAATGTTGTTAGTCCATGTAATAGGCAGGAGGATAACTATGAATTTTCTTAGGCGTCTCTGAGGTACTAAAAGATACAGCAGCCCCCGTATTGCCACTATCAATGAACACAGTACTTCTAATTGCCACACCTTGCGTTTCTCTTCTTCACTGTTCTCGTTCGTGAAGGGTAAACAGAGAATTGCTCTCAAATAGTAGAAATGTCTACAGTCATCATTAATGTGATTCTAACAAAACAGTTGTGAGTTTCTCAGTGCCCCTTTCGTAACATAGCATAGGGCAGAGGCCATAGACTATTTCATAAGGGTCAGCTAACCTCTCCCGCTAGTGATATAGTCTTTGCCTGCTCATTTCTTCTTAGCTAGGTCTTTCAGCCTCCTAAACAAAGACCTGTACAGGTTTGCGAGTCCCCTATACTGTGATTCTTCCACACACAATTAAGCTGTGTAGCTAATTCAGGAACTGTTAGATCTCCTGAACATGAGCAGGTGGCTTCAAGAGAAAGTAAACTTTTGGACATAAAGCTATTAGAAGAAGTAAATGGCAATCTATGTGAAAGCATCCCAAGCCTTGCTTGGAATGTACTCAGTACTCAGGAAGCAATGTTTAAATCCCAGTCAGATTGAAAGAGCAATTTAGAAAATTGAATTTTGTAGCAAGGGGGTAGAAAACAATAGTCCACCCTGGTCTCTGTAACTTGATCCTAACTCTACCCTATTGCTCTCATTAGTTTTTCATCATTCATTGCAGGCTTGCCGGGGTGCACAGTAAATGTTACTTCTTTCTTGTCGTCTGGCTGTTTTCATACCGTGTTTTCAGTTTTTACATTTTAATGACCACTTTTCTTTTTCTGCCTACATTTGTGTGCTAACTCTGTAGTGGTTTATGGAAACCTCAGGGGGATTACAAATGGTATTTGGGATAGTACAGTATTTTCTGGTTGCAGTACTGTACTACATCCATTGGGTGGCATACCTCGTTAGCTTTTATATGGGTCTTTGTGGAATATAAGGTTTAGGCTGTAGAGACCAAGTAAAGTGCTTTGAAAATTTGTGTGTAATTCTAATTTGTTGAGTAAAATTCTTTTAGGGGCTAAATGATACCCAATGCTTCTAATACTATATCTTATGGTAAAATTAGCAAATGATAATAATTACACTATTTAAGGCTGCACATATAGGACCATTCAAGTTCGTTGAGGCAGAGTAGCGTATTAGCAGGGCTTTCATCTGGAGTGGTAAATGGGGATGTTCAAAGGTTTAATTAAATAGAGTTTCTGACAAAAGGGTACTAATGAAGTAATAGATTTAACCAAGACTTACAAAGCTTTACTTCATTATCAAAAACCTAAAACATAATACGAGCCTTTGAGTTTTGTAGTCCTGCTTAATAACTATACAAAATAAAGCCTAGTCTGTTCAGGAGACCTTTAAGAAGTCATGCTGGTGTAGGTTAGAAGGGCCCTCCATGAAGGTCATTGGAAATGACATTATGAGTCTTCCGCATCTAAAAAGGGGAGATTGGAATTCCAATACAATGAAGAATAGATTCAGCTAGGATGTAAGCTGTCAGTCATAACCTTTTATGGGAGAACAACTTGCTTCTGGTAAAGAAAGTTATTTACTTCTGTTCATTCATCCGGCTCTATGAAAGCTATTCTTTTAGGGTAATAAGGAATCAAAGATGATGGAATAATCAATGTGTAAATAGCTCCAGTGTATGCAAGTTCCCTTACAAGTGGTACAAACTAAGGACTAAAATAGCCGTAAATGTATCAGCAAAGGAAACGATTAGTGATTGTAGTTTATGCATATATTGTGAATAAGTTAAGACAAGAGCTGATGAGTTTGTATTTTAAAAGTTACTTCTGCTTAGGAAAACTCGTTTCACCACGGAGGAGCAAGCCTCTGACTGCTTCCATTTCCCCCAGTTTTATATTGTGGAAAGTAAATAGAGATAGACCCAAAAGGACTGGGTCTCTCTTCTCCCATCCAGCTTTGTCTTCCCCAACTTGTAGGGTGGAGGCACTCACTCAGGCAAAGCAAGCTAACAAAACTAGGCCTCCATTGCCCCAGCTCAAGATTACCCATAGGTCAAAGGTTCATTGTGGATGGAGCAAGTGCAGATTCACCCCAGTCCTCATTCATAATGAAGAGATTTATCTCTGAAAGAAACAGGCCATTGTCTTTACTTCTACTTTCTGTATATGTTGTTCAGCTTTGAGAAAAAGGCAAGCATTAAGGTTGAACTCCATAGCTCTACCTAAAGGAACTGACTTTATCTAGAGCAAAGTTTCAAGAATTTCATGCCTAAGGACACTGACAGAAATAAAATAGGCCATAGATTATGATAGATACTAATTAAGAGGGTGCTTATAACTCCATGATAAAACTTGCAAAAAAATAAAATAGCCAGATAGCCAGAATTTGATAATGGAAAGAGAGAAAGGCAATCGAGGCAAGTTTCTTGAGACGGCAGTTTATTCTGGGTGTCAGCAAGGGTCTGCATAAACACAAACCTGCACCCACTAAGAAACAAACAGAATAGGACAGAAGGTGAACTTGAAACCAAAACCCAAGCTGCATTTAGATCAAACATCAGACAGACAGCAACCCCACCCTGGCATGGATTTCAATACTATGATCACCAACCACTGGCCAAACAATGTTCTGATCCAGTGATAATTCCTAAGAGGCCATGTTTAAAGATAAAATCACATCCCTGATAATTTGGAATACATACATACACACACACACACACACACACACACACACACACATTTAATTCTGTGCTCTCTTGGAGGTGACTAAAAAAGGGAAGATCTAAGCTATTAGTAAATGAGTGTGTTACAAAAAACAGACTCCTTAAATTTTGGTGGCAGCTTCCAAGCCACAAACAAATAAAATAATTTAAAAAACAAAACAACAAAAAAAAACCTTGGGGGCTGGAGAGATGGCTCAGAAGTTAAGAGCACTTGCTGCTCTTCCGGAGGTCCTGAGTTCAATTCCCAGCAACCACATGGTGGCTCGCAGCCATCCAAAATGAGATCTGGTACCTTCTTCTGGTGTGCAGGCATACATGGAATGTTGTATACATAACAAATAAATAAATCTTTAAAAAAAACCTCACTGGGGAAGTACAGAGAGTAAAAGTGAACAGCCTTGTGCTAGCAGGTCTCATTAAGATTAACAGGTGATTTCTCATAAAAATCAATGGAGATCAGAAGGTGTTGGAATGCTACTGTGACTTGGATATGATTTGTCCCCAGCCAAACTTGGCTTGATATTTAATTGCTAATGTACCAATATTCATCAGATTATTAAGAGGTGTGAGCATCATGAAGGTCTCTGTCTTCTGCATGATCTTCTACTTTTTGCCATGAGTCAGGCTGTAGTGAGACTTTCTCCAGAAGCCAACTAAATCAGCCACCTGATTTTGACAGCATCCAGAACTATGGCCCCAAATAATTACCCCTTTTCTTATAAGATACCCACCCAGTCTTGGGTACTCTATTATAACAATGTGAAACAGACTAAAGAAAGATGAAGGATTTAAAGTGCTAGAAAAAAAGACTGTCAACCAAAAGCTTAATTCCAATAAAATTATCTTTAAGACATTAAATGCTATAAATTTATTCTTTGGTGTATAAATTTATACACTAAATCTGTAAGAATGTATATATATAGAATCTTATGTAGCAGACCTGCCATATAAGAAATACTAAAGGACGTTTTGCAGGACAAGAGCTGTCTTTCAGTAATTTCTTATGAAATTAGACAATAATCTGAATGCTCATAAAGATAATTGTGTAATGAACCACAAAACAATATAATGTCACTCTTCATTCTATTGACCAATTTAAGAAATAATTACTTAAGACATTTATATGTCATTACATATGTGTATAGAACTTTATCATTGAACTTATTTTGTATATAAATATGAATATTTTTGACAATAGTAAACACAAAGGCAGTGAATGGTAGCAAGGCTGTACTGGAGTAACAGTACAGAGAGGACCTTTGATGCATAGTCAGAAGTGAAGACAGAAAAAATTAAACAGCGACAATATAAGAAAATTGTACTTGTGCCAGGTGTAGCGTACGCCTTTAATCCCAGCACTCAGGAGGCAGAGGCAGGCGGATCTCTGAATTTGAGGCCAGCCTGCTCTACAGAGTGAGTTCCAGGACAGCCAGGCAGGGCTACACAGAGAAAAGCCTGTCTTGAAAACTTTTACTTGTTCTGTTTTATTCTTCTAGATTCCTCAAATGATGTAATATTGTAAAAAATA